GGTAATCAACCAATCAGATTACTGGAATTTTACAGAGCATGTGATAATATAGACATCTTATTTGTCAAAGACAGTTTTGTGAAAAGCAGATAGAAAGTATAGAAAGTATAGAAACTGTAGACATCTGATTTGTCGAAGACAGTTATGGGAAAAAGCAGATCGAAAGTATAGAAAGTATAGAAAGTATAGACATCTGATATGTCGAATACAGTTCTGGGAAATAGCAGATAGAAAGTATAGAAACTATAGACATCTTATTTGTCAAAGACAGTTATGGGAAAAAGCAGATCGAAAGTATAGAAAGTATAGAAAGTATAGACATCTGATATGTCGAAGACAGTTCTGGGAAATAGCAGATAGAAAGTATAGAAACTATAGACATCTGATTTGTCTAAGACAGTTATAGGAAAAAGCAGATCGAAAGTATAGAAAGTATAGAAACTATAGACATCTGCTTTGTCAAAGGCAGTTAGTATGAAAAGGCATTTCGAAAGTATAGAAACTATAGACATCTGATTTGTCAAAGGCAGTTGGTATGAAAAAGCAGTTCGAAAGTATAGAAACGTCGAAGGCAGATAGTATGAAAAAGGAGATCGAAAGTATAGAAAGTATAGACAATGTATAGACAGATAGAAAGTATAGACATTGCCATAATTCTGGATATACCTCAACAAATGGGTCAAAAGTGAATTTCGCGAGACAAAAGTGGCGGCCATTTTGAAAATAGGCGAGCTTTTGAACCAGGAGTCATAGGGGAGTTTTCTGTATTGATGTTGAACAGAAATAACTTAAAGCAGGAATCCTATCGACAGAGGTTTTAAAACGTGCCACTATTGTTGACGGACGGACAGACGGACGGACAGACAGACGGACTGACAGACGGACGGACGGACAGACGGACAAGTGAGTGATTGCAAAAGCTCACCATGTGAGCTAAAAATAGCACCGTGGATACTGGGTCCACAAGTTAATGATTTGAAAGGAAGGTATAATGACAGACGATAAAACTTGGATATTTTTGCCAGCATTTTGTAACAGAATTATTTCATAAAACTACTATTTACAGTAACATTTTACCATTGAAATACACATGAAATAACTTATAAAGCTACTAAATGTTCCGAAAGTGAATTTTGGGATTGGTCAGATTGAAGGAGGGGCGGATAGACCGTGAGACGATCAAGTGAGAAATAGCTCGCCATGTGAGCTAAAAACCTTGAATACCTTATCAAAACGGACCAAAATTACTATTTTTATGTACTATTAAATAGTTTAGCAGGAAAAGGTTTTAAACTACATACATGTATGAATCCTTGCCTCATTTTTCAAATTTTGGAAAACATTCTACAATTGCCAGTTATGGAAAGGTGACTAAAATAAAGTCTAGCTGTTAGTTTGTATTATTCAAATTGTTATTCCTCTTTGATAAAAAAAATCAGTTTAATGGGTTGATAATTTCCTGGACTTTTGCTGACAAGATTTTTTGTGGCGCCTGCCCAGCAACACAAGACGACAATATAGCCCTTTTTAAGGTGGGATGAAAAAATCGACATTATTCTACTTCATAAAAACAAAACATCTGGTATATTTGGTTGGTGCTTTAATGCATGCACTCTTGGATGTAAATGCACCTGCTGTCACCTTGCCTGAAGTATTTCATTAAAAGTGGCTCGTCCACTTATATGTGCGTATCAGAAACAATGGGTCAAGGTTAAGAAGGCATGTGTGGTCTGAATACTTATGCATTGGTGTATTAAGTGATCCTGTTTCTAGAACTGGTTGCATAATCTTGATTTTACCTATTTTCATGAAAGGATAAAAATTGGAATAAAATAATGATGTCATGATTTTGCAATTTTATACTGTACACAGGTGTACACATCCATGTTAAACAAAAATGCAGGCTTGCATGCAAAGATTTTGAGTTAAATAAGTACACGTATCTCTCTTAACCCTACTACAGCTCACATTATTTCATAATTTAGAAAAGTACAAGATACTTTTTTGAAAATTACATTACCTTGAAGAAAGTTGTAAAATAAACTTTTACAAAACAAATATAATCCACCACCAATGTGTAGTTTTTTCAGAAATTCTCTTACTACACACTAAATCAACTCAGATTCATCAGGCACTGTATTCATATCATGCCATATGGAACATAGAACAGGCAGGGAATGAGTCCGGTTATCGACTTCTAATGTCTGAAAAACCAACTCAATCACACCAGGATATCACATCCTTCTTCTGAGAGTCAAAAATATCTATTTGTGTCATGATTAATGAACAATATTGGCATCAAAGACAATGCATATTAATATGCCAGAGTTGAAAGAATTTCAAGTGCAAATACTAACAGAGTAAGTTATAGAAAAAGTTTGAAACATATCCTCTAAACATTGCTTACTTTCTTTATGTAAACATTGAATGATTAATTAAGTGAATTGTTGTTTATCTGGGTAATCAAGAGATAACAGTTACTCAAAGTTACTGAGCAACCAATTTTGACACTTCAGTTGTGTTGGTGGAGTTGTTTATATTTCTGCCAAATTCATGCTGAGCACAGCTTTATGGTTTCAATTCTATAATCTGTATGCATGATCCTGATGATGAACAGTCAGAATCAATCAAAAAAATCCAAACCATAAAGCTGTGCTCAATGTGAAAATTAAAAGTGAAGCAACTTTTTCTGATATCTCCTACATCAAATGGCAGTCATCTTATTTTTCCCTCTTCGAATTATACGGGCAGGAATTTCAAAAGTTTAAAAATTTGAAAACTAAAATGCATCTATAAATGTAATTTTCTTTTCAATTCTTCATGGTCTTTAATTTATTTTTACTTTGTATGTCATACATGTTGCCATTGGTGTTTTTTATATGATAACGACTTATATATTCATTATGCATCAAAACTCAGGAAAAAGTGCATTTACTTATCAAATATAACGAGGACAGTAACAAAAAGCATACAAGATCTTAATGAGGGACAAAAAGGACACATATCCTGACTTATCCTTTGTGTCTAATTCTTCTCTAGAAATTGCAATAATTCCAATATTCGTTTAAATTAAATATCAACCGTATACGAGGTAGAGCAATGTTTCATGATAGGATATTCACTACATACAACATCAAGCAATGTTGCTCACACTCATATATCTGTATGTTGAAATGGGGGACATCCTACGATTTATGAGTGATACAAATTTTATTCACGAGTGGAAAATATCTCCACGAGTGGGTGTAATAAGCGAGTGTAGCAAGAGAGCAGCGTCAAATATGCATGGGTGGATAAAAATCATATCATCAGAAAATATAGGAATATCCCATGGTTTTGAAAAAATATCATTCATATCCATGAGTGGATATTGATATCTTCATGAGTGAGGGCAGCGAATGAGTGAAGATATTTGTATCCATGAGTGGATATAATTGATATTTTTGAAAAACCATAGGATTGTCCGTTTATCCCATGGGAAATCATCATCAGCGAAAAAAGTTGAAAAATATAATTTGAGAAAAAATTTAAAAAAATTATTGAAAAAAATTGTGAAAAAATGTTGAAAAAAATTTTGAAAATTTTGAAATTTTTTTGAAAATAATTAAAAAGTGTAAAAAGATTTTTTTTTGAAAAAATTCGAAACCATCGAATATCACTTTTCAAAACATCGAATATCACTTTTCAAACCATCGAATATCACTTTTTAAGACGTGATATTTGATAGTTTAAAAGTGATATTCGATGGTTTGTGGATGTTTTGCTAAAATATGATATCTTGATCCACATATCAAATATATCTTCATGTGATATTCGATCTATATCCTTGCAACCATGGGATAATATAGGAATATCCTATGGTTTTGAAAAAATATCATTTATATCCATGAGTGGATATTGATATCTTTACGAGTGAGCGCAGCGAATGAGTGAAGATATTGATATCCATGAGTGGATATAATTGATATTTTTGAAAAACCATAGGATTGTCCGTTTATCCCATGGGAAATCTTAACCCAGCGAAAAAAATGGTAAAAAAAAATTTTTTAAAAAGATTTCGAAAAAAAGTTTAAGGAAAAAAATTTTGAGGGAAAAAATTTTTGAAAAAAAATTTTGAAGGAAAAAATCTAAAAAAAATTTAAAAAGATTTGAAAAAAAGTTTTTGAAAAAAAAAATTTGAAGGAAAAAATTTTTGAAAAAAAAAATTGAGGGAAAAAATTTTTGAAAAAAAATTTTGAAGGAAAAAATCTAAAAAAAAATTTTAGAAAAAACTCTAGAAAAAAATTTTAGAAAAAAATTGACAAAAAATTATTGAAAAAATCTAAACCATCGAATATCACTTTTGAAACCATCGAATATCACTTTTTGAGAAGTGATATTCGATGGTTTGAGAAGTGATATTCGATGGTTTGGGGATTTTTTGCTAAAATATGATATCTTGATCCACATATCAAATATATCTTCACCTGATATTCGATATATATCCTTGTAACCATTGGATAATAATAAATATGCAATATTTAGATTTATGAAAATATAACAGTTTGTCGGGGAGAATAAAAGATTAGTGCAACCATGGGCTTTTAATTATCTAGTTGAAAGCCCATGGTGCAACAAAATATAAAGATAATAAGTCGTAACAAGTAAAAATGATCGATCAGAAGTCACATGTCCAATGACGTCAGCAACAACAGGTAATCAATGGTCTTTCAGTTTAACCCACGGAGAAAAGACGAAAACACCAAAACCTACTCTGGACCCAACCAAAAGAAGTTAAAGACTATAAAACTTAAGAGATAACAAAGTTAGTTGAACACTATATTCAAGAGGTGCACCACCCAATTTAATATCAAACAATTACTAATCGCCTAATTTAGCAAATTAAAAAATATTCTGTAAAGGTACTGAATATCAAACCTTAAATTAACCTTAAATTATCATTTTATTGTGCTGATGCAGGCTTCTTAATGGCGAACTTTTAGATTCAGAATAAATCATAACTTGTTCTTTTATATTAGTTAAATGATTCTTCATTTTGAAACAAGTACGTAGAAAATTTGTTAACCATCCAACATCTCATGGTTAGAATCTGTACTTATTTGTTAAGACACTATTTGCCAAAATACAGTATTTATCCGCTGGTAACAAAAATATCATTTTTATTCTGAAATGATATCCACACACCTATTCTGGAATAAGCCATATTATAACATACCTATGATGATGTATAGTGCAAAGTGTACACAAGACAGCGGTCCAATATAAGTTTCGAAAAGCCCGCGCCCGCTAACTTTCTGATTGGTCAAGGCGCTGACGTCATAACCAATCAATCGAAGATAAAACTGCGCGAGCAATTTTTCTAAACTCATTTCAATCATTTTCAAACCATTTATTTGTCAATTCTTTAAGAAAATGGTACTCTCTGACCAGTCTACATCATCATAGGCATGTTATAAATCGTTTATATCACTATCGTGGCACATGTGCCCTCGGTTCTCAGAGATCAATGTCCCTCCCAAGGTCGGGCCATATATCACTGAGACCTCGGGCATATATGCCACGATAGTGACATAACCTCTAAATACCCTATGCACTGTCCACAATATTAGCTGGGTCATTTTGTTGATCTGTTATCATTAAATACAAATATAATCGTTGCTATGTGAAAACATTGATCATATTCTGGGTAAATATCAGTGGATAGTCCTTATAGGAAATACATAATGTAGTCATTATGTAGAATATCATTGGGTGATTAGACTATTTTGTGCTTGCAAGAGAGTCACTATGTTGTGGTGGCTGCTTTACGTTTTTTTACTAATTCTAGCAAGAACTTTACTCTAGTAACACACTCATCCTGAAAATAAAATAAATAGCACATTATATCCTGTACTTAACAGTTACACAGTTATAAAATCTGATGGTTGCACATCTAAACAAATCGAAGCAATTTATGCCTATATACATTGTACAGACGGTATAAGGATGCCAATAAAGAAACATAAACATTGGCAGACAACCAAACAGACTCACAGTTCAACAGGGTTAGTACAACCATAACATTTTCATATAAAAATTCATTGATTTTTCCCTCATTCAAATGTGAAACACCATAACCAAATGAGCTTTTATGTATGGACGAAAAATGAATATAATGCATAAATTTCACCGAATCTTGTCAAATTTTCTGAGCTTTTATCTATAGACGAAAAATGAATACAATGCATTTTCGTTATTAAAATTTCACAGAATCTTGTCAAATTTTATGAGCTTTTATCTATGGACAAAAAATGAATACAATGCATTTTCGTTACCAAAATTTCACTGAATCTTATCAAATTTTCTAAAACTTTTCCTGACTGTGGAAACCCTGTCCACGAATGTCAGTCAATCTATATTCCCAGTGTTCTCACCTTAGTTTTTCCAGGTATATGCTCTGCTACCTTGTCCCACCTAGCTTCAGTGCCCTTAGGGAATTGCCCAAGAGCCCATTCTAATATTTTCTGCTGGTTCTGAGACCAGTCACCTTCATTACTTCCCACCTCAGTAGAAGCAGCACCATCAGATCTTGTGGATTTCACAGATGAAGTATTATTACTACTACTTTTAGAGATCTTTTGTGTAGTTTCATTAGTATTGGCACTAGATTTGGTGCTTGTGTTGGACACATTGCCATTGGATAAAGGTTTAATGTCTTCTTCGTTTCTACTATAGATATCTGGGTTTATATGACTGCCCTTTTTCAGTATTTTAGAGTTGTCCTTTGCAGCACCTACGATACCTTGAGCTGAAGGGTCTATGGAAACAGCAAAGCCAGCCTTCATCTTCTTAGAGTGGGTAATCACCTGAAATGACAGCAACCACTTAAATATGAAAAATACTTCGAATAACATCGAATATACGGACGAGGTTTTATTGTCTTTAACATGCAGCCTTGTATACTTTAAAGAGGTTCCATTCTGCCCATCTAAATCCCTATGTGTACCATTGGGGGTTATGAGACTGTTTGGTATTTTCATTATTTCTATTTGACTATTTTGACTTTTAAAAACTCTTAAATACTCACACTGTAATTTGTCTGTTGAGTTCAGGAAATTAGAGATGAATGCATTACCAAGGAACTTGTTTAGAATTACACAAACCAATTGCAAGTGACCCATTATTTAGAATGAGAAGAATGAGTCTCAACATTTAATGCTTATTACCTCTGATACAGGGCGCCCAACAAATTCTGCTATTTTCTGCCATCTGCCTGAAACTCCACCAGGAAATTTCTTAGCTGCTTTAGCAAGTAATGATGTATGTTCATCTGTCCATTCTCCTTCATTCTGAAATTTTAACAACAAATTATTAACATTTTTACATATCAAGTTTTCCTCACAGTTTAGACTAGTTATTATGTTGAGTCTATGCAATGATAACCTAAAATACATGTTTTTGAAAATTGTCACAGTTGCGAAGCTCTGTCACTTGTAAGAATGTGTATCGATGTCCTTAATCTATCAGTGTGTTCTGTGTGAGAATAACTAACATATTATCTATTGTTAACTTCTAATGTTCTACATTTGTGCAACTTCAAGCTTTTTGAACAGAAACAATGATAACCTTACAGAACTTCATGTGTGTAAATGAATGAATAAGAACACTAACTTTAGTTGTTATCTGTTTTGTATCCACTTCATTTTGATCTTGGTCAGCTGAAGCATTGTAGATCACAGGGTTTGAATTACTGTATAGTGTTGCATCATACTCTTGTATAACAACCCTCTGACGTTTCTTAGGACGCTTCACAACTTCTCCTGAAACAGTATATATGAAGCCTTAAATATTGATTGATATTTGCACTAAGTACAAGAAAATGAGTAAAAAAATGAGTAAGTACAAGGATGTAATACGATTCAGAATTCACAACTTCTGTAGGTCTAGCTTTATCCATAGAAATCAATAGTTTTGTTTATGTAGCAAATATTGAAGCTTATGATTTCAAATGTAGAAAAGTGGCCAAACTTTGTATTCTAAGATACAGGACAAGCTTCTGCATCTGTGCACTAAGAATATCGTGGGGATTTCAGCTACATGTATACTTTGGTTAATCAATCTACAATGATAAGACAGAAAATTCTAATGGAACAGTTTATCTGGTCCTGGTCCTAAAATACTTTTTATAGTCAATCTACCTGCAGCATTAGCCTCCTCCAGTTCCAGCTCCTCCTCTTCTTTCTGCCTCCTCTTCTCTTCTTTGTATTCCTCATACCTTGCCTTAGCTTCTAATATTGCACCTGGGATGCCAATAACTGCACCTACCACCAACCTATAAATATACAAGCAGACTTTTATCAATAACACATAACCAGAATAACGGCAATGCCAAAGCGTAGCAAATCCCATCGAACACTTTTCAAAACGGGCACCTTCTACCAAAAGTGTCATTAGACAGTGTGCCATGCTTATAATATTCACATACCAAATATGAACAAAATCGCTCTACTACTTTTCGAGTTATAGTAAAATGTGTTAAAATGGTGGCCATTTTGAAAAATGGCCGCCTTCTACCAAAAGTGTCATTAGACAGTGTGCCATGCTTACAGTATTCACATACCGAATATGAACAAAATCGCTCCACTACTTTTCGAGTTATAATAAAATACGTTAAAATGGCGGCCATTTTGAAAAATGACCGCCCTCTACCAAAAGTGTCATTAGACAGTGTGCCATGCTTATACGTATTCACATACCAAATATGAACAAAATCGCTCCACTACTTTTCGAGTTTTAGTAAAATAAGTTAAAATGGCGGCCATTTTTCAAAATGTCCGCCATTTTTCAAAATGGCCGCCTTCTACCAAAAGTGTCACTAGACAGTGTGCCATGCTTATAGTATTCACATACCAAATATGAACAAAATCGCTCTACTACTTTTCGAGTTACAGCAAAAATCGTAAAATACGAGTAAAGGCCGCCATTTTTCAAGATGGCTGACATATGCTTTTTTAATATCTACATTTCTAGCTTTATTAATGTCCTATATTATTTTTTTTACCTTTAAAACATATTGCTATTACAGTTTTACATATTGCACCTAAATTACTGTAAAATCGGCACTAAAATGGCCGCCATTTTTAAATGAGCGGCCATTTTGAAAATCGGCTTTCAAGCACAATTTCTACCCCCATAGGGTATATGTGTACAAAATATGAACAAAATCGCTCTACTACTTTTCGAGTTATAGTAAAATGTGTTAAAATGGTGGCCATTTTGAAAAATGGCCGCCTTCTACCAAAAGTCTCATTAGACAGTGTGCCATGCTTATAGTATTCACATACCAAATATGAACAAAATCGCTCCACTACTTTTCAAGTTATAGTAAAATATGTTAAAATGGCGGCCATGCTTATACGTATTCACGTACCAAATATGAACAAAATCGCTCCACTACTTTTCCAGTTATAGTAAAATAAGTTAAAATGGCAGCCATTTTTCAAAATGTCCACCATTTTTCAAAATGGCCGCCTTCTACCAAAAGTGTCATTAGACAGTGTGCCATGCTTACAGTATTCACATACCGAATATGAACAAAATCGCTCCACTACTTTTCGAGTTATAATAAAATACGTTAAAATGGCGGCCATTTTGAAAAATGACCGCCCTCTACCAAAAGTGTCATTAGACAGTGTGCCATGCTTATACGTATTCACATACCAAATATGAACAAAATCGCTCCACTACTTTTCGAGCAAGGAGGATTGGCTCCCAGGATCGAAACTCGATATTTTCCAACAATGAAAACGTCGAAATGTCGTTATTTTCTGAAATTAAAACCGACTATAAATTCAAAATAAACAGTTCAAAAGATTCGAACCAATATCTCGATCGTTTCTTGTGAGTTTTGGAATTTTTCGTTTGGAAATAAGACCAAAATTCACGATTTAAATGTTGAAGTGAACAAAATGGCGGCTGTTTGAATTCGAATTTTGTATTACGACATACCCATATATGGGACAGAATATCGGTGGTGCACTCTGGGAGCCAATCCTCCTTGTTTTCGAGTTTTAGTAAAATAAGTTAAAATGGCGGCCATTTTTCAAAATGTCTGCCATTTTTCAAAATGGCCGCCTTCTACCAAAAGTGTCACTAGACAGTGTGCCATGCTTATAGTATTCACATACCAAATATGAACAAAATCGCTCTACTACTTTTCGAGTTTCAGCAAAAATCGTAAAATACGAGTAAAGGCCGCCATTTTTCAAGATGGCTGCCATATGCTTTTTTAATATCTACATTTCTAGCTTTATTAATGTCCTATATTATTTTTTTTACATTTAAAACATATTGCTATTACAGTTTTACATATTGCACCTAAATTACTGTAAAATCGGCACTAAAATGGCCGCCATTTTTAAATGAGCGGCCATTTTGAAAATCGGCTTTCAAGCACAATTTCTACCCCCATAGGGTATATGTGTACAAAATATGAATAAAATCGGGCCAACCGTATTTGAGTTATTGCCCGGACGGTCTGTACGTACGTCCCTACAGACGTACATACGGACGGACGGAGGCGTTCCCTATATCCCTCCATACTTCTTTCGATGGGATAAAAATAGTCTATAGCCAGGATCTTAAAATAAGAGATGCAAAATGAAATCAAATTGGATATATTACAACCAATAAACCCATACATTAGCTTTGGTTAGATATGAAATAGGAATTTTGAAATCGGGGAGGGGGTGTTGGGGACAAATAGATACACTACAAAAAACATTACAATTGGATAATTAAATGTTCCAACGATAAATATTAGTACTGTATGAGAATATTCTAAATGGGTCAATAGATAAACCTAAAAGACAGTAGCGTTGGCTGAATACCTGACCAGTTTTAATGGTAAAAGATCAATGAGTTTTGGACGAGGGACTGCAGAAAGTTCCTCCTGCAAGATGTCTTCAATCTCATCATTCTCTTCTTCTTGGATTCTCTGCTTCCTTTTAGTCTTCTTAGCCTTACGTTTCATGGAGCGAAAAACTTCTTCCTGTAATAAAAAAGTTGGTAATAGACTCTCATGATTTCTCTGAGAAAAACAAAGAAGTTAAGTATCATTGAACAAAACAGTGAAACTTCAAAAAAAAATTGTTTCCTTCGAATATATTTTCTTATAAAACATTATTTTTGCATTTGACTGCACAAAATGTTCAAAGAAACTATCATTGATTTTGTATTTCTGTGAATAAACTTTATAAAATACAACAAAATTCTCACCATTTCAAACTTTTTTTCAAAATAAGCTGCCCAGACAACAGCAAACTGCCCCACAGTAAGTATAACTAAGAGCAGTAAAGACATCTCCAGGAGACCCATTTTGCGCATCTTACGGTAGTAATACACTGGTTGACGCCAATCTGGGAGGCCGTGCTCCAAGACTTCATTGTACCTGGAGGAATAAAATGTTAAGTTGGTTTGTTTTTTGTGGATGAAATGTTTTCTACTTGATGTAGATTTGTGGCCTTTTGACCAATATCATAGCTTGTTATTTCACATCAAGATAATGAAAGATGTAAGGAAAATGCTAACATTGATTAAAACATCAAAGTGATGTGTTATATTTAAAAACTAGCCAATTGGATTTCAGACAAATGGAAAAGGTATGCATTTCCTATCGCCAGGACCAAGGGCTAGGCCCAAGCATTGAACACTTTCCAACCAGATTAGAAGGTGGGGCAGCCTTGGTTGTCACAAGGTAGCGTTAGGGGGACTATGACATGTGAAATTTGTTTGAAGTATGCTTTTTATGTCATTTGATAAAAATGTTTTGACTTAAATTTTCAGAGTGGCAAATATATTTTTGAAAATATTAGCCACGTTGGCTAATAATTTTTTTCAGCTTATCTGGACCCCAGATAACAATATTTAGGAAATTCATGTAATAACAAGTTGAAAGCTTGCAACATATTATTGAGAGTTACTTTTATCTTCATTACCTCTGTCTTTTTTCTGCATTTTTTAGCACCTCATATACAGCTACAAGCTGCCTGAACTTTATCTCAGCATCCTCTTCTTTGTTTTTATCAGGATGCAGCTGCAGTGAGAGCTTCCTGTAAGCTTTCCTGATCTCTGAAGTTGATGCACTCTAAAAGACAAAGCATTTTCATGAACTATGATACATAAGTCATAAATGACAATCTATAGCTGTATCATTGACAAGTGATTGACAAATATTTGACACTTAACCTGTGAATATCATTATATGCACATGTTTTTCTGCAGCACTAACCCCACAGTAAGAGTATTGCCACCTACAATCGTTATGCTTTGTTTGAGACTATACCACTCTTGGGTGTTCAAATTCTTTTCAACTTTATGTATGTAGCAGTTGTTATTGGCTGTCCTTCAATAAAATAATAAACCAAAATAAACCTTGAAGGAAACGAAGAACTCTCTGAACTACAGAGTTTTAACAGTGGATGTGTCTTGATATGTCTTAAGGAAGAAATCTATTCTAGAGCTAATAATTTTGACGTAAAGTTTTTCGGGATTTGGCATATAATCAATATTTTACATATTCTTCAGATTTCTCAGTCACTAGTGGATGGATTGCTCCCAGTTTTAGTAACCTTGCTCTGTAGGGTTGTTTGAATCAGTATATTTATTATTGAAATGATTCCACATATTTTTACTAGATATATCTACAGTAAAATTTTAAATGTTTGGAACTACTTTGAATTTAAAAAATAAGCAATCAAATGACTATATTGCAACAGTATATAAAATAAAAATAGAAATGTAGGTACTTGTCCTTACTTTTGTATATTTCAGATAGTTATATATAATGTGCAGTAAAGCTGTGGCCTTTTGTAATTTAGGGAGTTTCAGCTATGTTTATTTTTCCGAAAATAGCATGGCAGAGAAGCATCAAAATTTAAGGGACCACAGATATGATAGCTAAACTACAAAACAAACTAAAATATACAAAAGTTAGGACATGTATAAATGTTTCTATTTTTACATATACATGTACTGTTTCAATATGGTCCTTTGATTACTTATTTTTTAAATTCAAAGTAGTTCCAAACATTTAAAATTTTACTTACTGTTAACAACCTCTTTTTACCAATTTCAGGAAGCATCAACATAAAGTGGGGGACAAAAATAAACCTCAACCATCAAAAGTTGTCACAATGAGCTAAATTCCAAGTTTCGTGTCTCAAACTCTCCCAAGCGGTAGAAAAATAATTCCTGTTCACTTTAAGTAGCACAATAAATGAATTCAAAGCTTCATACCTGCAAATGATGGATAAATCCATACCAAATCGAACGAAAGTTTTCATGAATTGCCATGTTTGTGATCCAAGGAGGATTGACTCTCAGAATGCAACATCAGTTAACCTTATTTACTTGTGACAGGTTTCAAAATGGCGGAACAGCATTTTGAAAGCTGGCACGTGTCATGTTGCACTCTGGGAGCCAATCTTCCGTTGCAGCATAATCGGGCTACAAAATCACCTCAACATTTTGAAGAGTCGGTATTAACATGTGAATATCCACTGCAACTTTTTAAGTTCTTATTTGTCATTATGGACACAAATTCCACTATATTTCTAGGATGGAGAAAATAGAGCACTGAATACACTGAGGTAAAAAATCTCTTTATAACAGTACAGACTTATTGGAGGGCTTGCTCGACCCTCCAGCCAAGTTCCTGTAGGAAGGGGGTCAATTAGTATGTATCCAACAGACTGACTAGAAGTCAGTTTGAATATAATTCAGACTAAATAGGATATAGTCTAGGGGGTCAATATTATATATGTTATCACCATATGGGAACAAATTGAATGTGAGATTGTCCTTATATGTTACCATTGATTCAGCTTTTACACAAAAGTAGAAATACGTACAAACGACTTTAAAACCTCATTCAAAAATGGATTACAGTTTAAGAAATTCATGAATGAATAAAAAATAGGCCTTATGGCTAGACTAATGCTAACAAAATAAAAATGAAAATTTTTTTTTTTTTAAATGTAATACATTTTTACCTGTTCAAGACCCATCAACTCATAAAAATTTTGGTTCACTTCTTCAACGATATCAAAGAGCTCCAGTTCGTCAGTATCCCATGCCTTAATCGGTGATATTAACAGAAATATGACGATAAATATTGTCCAAATCTTTTTTCGACCAGCCATCGCGAAACCGGATATGCTTACGTTGAAAAGCCGAACGTCTTGATAAGTAGTTTCGACAAAGTTTGTAATTTTTAGATAGTTGGATAAGCTTACCATATTCTAATTCTATGGCCACTGACACTCTTTGTTGTTTTGAATTTGCCTTTAAATTGCTTCGTTAAGATGTCTCAAGATATGCTACGATCTGGCATGAAGATCTGACACGAGGTCAGACGCTTTCATCAATATCTGATAGATTCATCTTTTACTCGACTGCCCTCTAACCGCCATACCCAGAAATGATTACATACAGAACATCCTAAAGTTAGATAATCTTGATATTATGTGCTATTTTGGAAAAACCAGAAAGCAAAAAATTGAATTTATACTTTTTGGAGATGAAAATTTAAATAGTGAACTGAATACAAAATGCCTTCAACTATCTTCAAATTATATCGATAACATCTTAGAATGACCATCCTCCTCATTTCACATCATCTCTCATTAACACTCATATACATCATCATGGGCAAGACCTGGATGACGACCGTCTGTCCGTTGCAATCCTACACACTCCAGTGATTTATTATATGTTTTTAACTTTCTAGAGGGGGCCAATAATGCTATGTAGCCTCGGCCCCTCACAATCTATGTAAATAATTATGTTGAATTAGTATAGAAATAAATAACAATAACCAAAAAAATAAATAAATAAATATCTGACACTGTTGTGTTACGCTTTCCGAGGGACTCTCAAGCTTTCCAACGAATTGAGACGCTTAATTAATAAGGTTTTTTGGCTTTGTTACGCTTGGCAAGCTTCCTCGCGCTCTCTCACGCTCTTTCACGCCGTTCGACAAACATCATGTCTGGGCTTCAGATAGGCAATGCTCTGGTCCATCTTGGCTCTGGTTCTTGTTGTTCTGCCATCGTGTTCTCGAGTCAAAGATGCAATGGTTTTATGGCCGGACTACTAAATCTATATCAAAAGCGACATGAAGATCGGCGATTTCGACATTTTCCAATGCGTGACAGAGCTTAACAGAGCGTAACAATACACAACAGAGCTTGGCAATCGTTAGTTCAACAAGTTAAACCCAATACCACGGCTTTCTTTTTTTAATCTGAATGTTCGTGTTGCCGTGGTTGGGTTTAACTTCCGTGCTATGCTTTCGTATGTTGCAAATTTTCACCATCAGTTATTAATTAAACGCGCATAGAATTTCATGCGCTACCATAGGCCACCATTTATTTTTTTTGCATCAAGGGCCGAATAGGCACGGAAGTTAAACCTAGGGCGGGCCACAAGATATGTCAGATAAGAAATAAGGCCCAGACTAGGTTTAACTTGTTGAACTAGGCAATCGTATCAGGGCCTGATTTATAAAGCGTCATAATCGCATCAAAGCGTAATAATGCTTATCAAAGCTTGTCAAAGCGTGATTTCAAGCGTAACAAAGCCTGGTCGAAGCCATGGAAGCGGGATCTGGCTCTGGCCAAGCTCTCCCCCTAGATTCATTAGGACTGACCTTAAACTATAACGCACACAATGACCCAACTCAAGTAAAGTGGAACGTTACCCACTTAGTCCATGGTATGAAATCTCTAGGACGTCTAATAAAGGAGCCGGTAGCACACTCTAGTGCAGCGATATTTGACCTAATCTTAACATACCTACATATTTTCCTTAATACTTTTAATTATAACTGTTTCATAAACTTCCGGCTTTTAGACTGAATTATGCCTGTCATTAGCAGAGGTCAAAAAATTACCAAAAACTAAAATCCATTTTTTACAATTTGAAGTACACAATGCAACAAAAAATTATACAAAATGATTTTAAATATATGATTCAGGTTTCTAAACTGAATGTTTGAAGTTATCTCATCAATACAAGAAGTAAGCTTATATAATCAGTACATCGACGCTTTGTATTGTTTCTCAGTTATTAATAAGATAAATGTACGAAATGAATCATCTTTATATTAGAATGACAAATGCTTAAATTATGCTAGTTCTTCACAAAATGGGTCTCAATACGTTTTGAAATATGGACTGTTATTCCCATCCTCCTACTAGGTATCCAGAATCCGTACCTCCTTCTTCCCCCTGCTATATCCAATTTGGAAGCGCCCGATTAAACTGAGTCACGTGATACATGATTTCTGTCGCAGTGTTGGGACAGCCAATCAGATTGCGAGTTCTTAATCGGGGAAATGCTTACTGCTTATCACAGGGGGTAAAAAAGAACATATTCTGGATTTTGAAGCCCTGTGATCGGAGGATGGTTATTCCGCGGTGAGGGTCTTTTCCTCTTCCTTGACTAATTGCGACTACAGCTAAAAATCTATTTCTCGAAGTTAGATATTCTCCAGTTTTATGTTTATGTTTATGTATCTTTATTTCCACCTATGCAGATGAGTACATAATAATTATAAAGTTAATGTGGCAATATTAAAAATATAAAAATAAAAATATATATATTTACAACGCAAACTGTGTTGATTTAATAGTTTATAGAGCTATAGCTGCAGCTCTTGTTTTTAACATGTGTTTGACACTTAACATTATCTTCACATACATTCTGTAGTCTAATGCTTCATTTTTTCCTAGTAAGACCTCCATTTTTTCAACCATATTATATCCATCAAATATTCTGTCACTTAAAACTGCCAACAAGTCACTCCTACTTTCATGAAGTTCAAGGCAATCTAAGAGAAAATGCCTTGTCGTTTCATTTGCCATCCCACACAGAGGACAAATGGTGTCATAGTTGAGTGGGAAAGCACCTGTTAGCAGTTTTACCATATCCCTACACATCCCTATATATTTACAATTCGATTGACAGATTCTCCACCATACGCATGGTTTTATCGTAACTTGTATCGTTCTATAAACGCTAAGTCTGTTAGATATGTTACATAACAAGTGCCATCTGTCTTCTTCATACTGCATTATGCGTGCTTTAACAATCCGTTTCCACGCACATTTGGGCATCAGGTCATAATTCAAAAAATATTCATCAATATATCGCCATAAATTGTATCTTGTCACAAGGTTCAAAACTGCATTTATTACTGAATAGTTGCTATACAACTTTGAGTGTTCAGAAATTGACTTCCATCTAAAGAACTCAATTATAAAAATCATTTTATACACACATGTGGTTGGTAGATTTAGGATACACCACAGAAACATTAACTTTTTTGTATCTATGACCGCACGAATCCTCGACCAGCCCAGTTGTGCCAAGGAAGCTTCGTTATGCACATTACATGGCAATTGTTGAATACGTTTTGCTATTTGTCTATGTGTCAATTCAAGGGTATCATAATCACATTGTTTCAATGGCAGGATATCCATACCGTATGTCATGGATGGTACCGATATGGACCAATATAAAATAGAGGCCGTCAGTGGATTGTATTCGAAGGTTGATTATAAAACAACCATCAAGACATTGTCGATTCATGAATCAAAAATATCAAAAACCTTTGAAATGAGAGCATTTTTCTGTGAACTTATTGAACGACTGGTATAGCTTTTTTCTGGAGGGACATTCATGGCTCCTATACATTGTATGGCTTTTAGGCCCAATGAGGCCCTCGTTTATCTAATTTGGCCCCTGTTTAGCTATTGGGCAGCGGGTTTTGAAATCATGACAAAAAATTCTCAATATTGATAAACAGGGTGGTCAAAAAAATGGAGACCCTGTATTTTCCTCATATCTTTGTCATTTTAAGAAATTACTCCCTGATATTTCACACATTTGTAAATCATTCAATGTCCTACCACCCTACCATATTTCACGACCATCAGACTGATAGTCACAATTTTACAGCACTTTGAACAACATGCTTCAGGTTTGGCCATCATTGCGCTGTAGACAAACATGCACAGTTGTCAATGATCCAAATGCATTCCTCAGCAGGTATGGCCTGAATGATACAGATGATCTTACTTTTGAGGTCTGCAATTGTCCTGGGGTCATTATCATACGCTCTATCTCTGCCATATCCCCATAGGTAGGGACACTTTGCACGACATATGCAGGTTGGTCTTCAGCGCAATAGTGGCCACCGGGAATGTTCTTTAAAGTGCTGTAACACGGTGACTATCACTCAGATGGTCATGAAATATGGTAGGCTGGTTGGAAATTGAGTGATGTACAAATGTGCAAAGTTATTTCTTAAAATAACTAGACATGTAAATTGAACAAGTTCAATTTAAGACTCCAGATTTCAGACTTTTTCTAAGCTGAGTCATCCAAATACTTGTAAGCTGAGTCATTCAGAATAAGCTGAGTCAGCTAGAATATAGACATTTAGACAACTCTTAAGAATGTTATCTTCGACTCCATTGGCTTAACATGGGGATATATTAAAACCGCTATAATTATCTAATCAGAAGTTGGATCGAAATTTGGTTTGGAGATTCTGATTCCTGAGAAAATTCTACCCTTAATTCATAACTCATACGTTAAATTTGGAGAACTTTTTATTTTGACCTACTTTTCAGACACCATATCTCAAAAGTGGGTCAAAATACTTTCTGACGGCAGAAGGCTAACACTATAAGCACACTCTTTGCTACATGTATACAAAATTTCGAAGCAAATCATTAAAGTGTAATGTCAGAATCGCAAAAATAAGGAAAAACTATGAATTTGACCTAGATTTTGACCTAGGCATTTTGGTGTCCAAATTTTAAAGCTAGATAGCCTACGAGGTCCCCTTCTTTTATAGGCTTTCAGAATGTTAAGCTGTAGGCCTACTCAGTTTATATCTGGTATTTTACACTTCAAAAAAATCTTTTTTCTCATTGACATAACATGGGGCACCAAATTTAGCGATTTTTGAGCTTTCAAAATGCCATAACTTCCGAACCGAAAGTTGGATTGAAATTTGGTTTGCAGACTCGGATTCCTGGGAAAATTCTACCCTTAATCCATAGCTCATATGTTAAATTTGGAGAACTTTTTATTTTGACCTACTTTTCGGACACCATATCTCAAAAGTGGGTCACACTCTTTGCTACCTGTATACAAAATTTTGAAGTAAATTATTAAAGTGTAGTGTCAGAATCGTAAAAATAAGGAAAAACTATGAATTTGACCTAGATTTTGACCTAGGCATTTTGGTGTCCAAATTTTGAAGCTATGTAGCTTTTGAGGTCCCATTCTTTTATAAACATTCATTATGTTAAGCTTAACTCAGTCTATATCTTGTATTTTACACTTCGAAAAAGTCTTTTTTCCCATTGACTTAACATAGGCACCAAATTTAGCGATTTTTGAGCTTTCAAAACGCCATAACTTCCAAACCGGAAATCCGATCTAAATTTGGTTTGCAGATTCGGATTCCTGAGATCATTCTTCACTTATTGTATAACTCACATGTTGAATTTGGAGACATTTTTGTTCTGACCTACTTTCCGGACGCCATATCTCAAAATCGGTAAGAGTAATCAAAATTCTGATGTCATATCTTTGATTCGCCTTTTTCTAAGCTACACGATGAAAAAAAGATGAAGGAGTTACGAAGAATATTGACGAAGATATGATGAAGAATGTTGAAAATGTAAGATTTGACCTAGTTCTTGACCTTTGACCTAGGTAAAAATTTGACCTAATTTCCCAGAAAGCCGGATACAGTCTTTAGTTACCCATGTAAGTTGGATTAAGTAAGATGTTATAGTTGGAGAGAAAATCTGTTAGGAGGAAGAAGAAAAAAGAAAAAGAATAATAAAAAGAAAACAGGCAAAAACAATAGACTCCAGATTTTCAATCTGGAGTCTAATAAAGATATAAGGAAAATGGTGTAGGGGTTTCCAGTTTTTTTTACCACCCTGTACTATTTTCTTTTTTATTGATGGATGCATGTATCTACAAAACTTGAGGTGTACAATCTCACATAGGCGCGCTCACACACACACACACATGAAAGTTGCATCAATTTCTGCAAAATTCAAAATAAATCTTATTTTTTGGCTTGTTTATGCCACAAACGTATCCCTGACTAAAAGCTGGCTACGTGTTAAAGTTGTGACAGAAGTCGTTTTCTCGATGGAATATTATAATAATTTAGATATTGGACATGATATCATCCTCCGATCAAAGGGCTTCAAAATCCAGAATATATTCTTTCTTTTACCCCCTGCGATTACCATTTCCCCGATTATAGCCATTGCGCATAATAACATCACGTGATTCTGTTAAACCGGGGGCTTCCAAATTGGCAGGGGGAAGAAGGAGGTACGGATTCTGGACACCAGCTTGGGAGGATGACAGGATATGTTTTATTACTTTTTTACTACTTTTACATGTAAATTCCCAAGATAGACGATGCTGCTGAAGATAAATTATGGTAATTTAATTCTGTCTTTATTAGCAAATAAAAGAATGAGCACGCAAATTTAATTGTTAGTGACGGTATCCTGGATCCAGGTGATGAATGGAGCTACTCTTGTAAATAGTGGTATTGGAGTTAGAGAGTTGTCTCCACAGTTCTGCCCGGGCCACTGTCCAGTTGATATACCAGCTGCTCGATAGATGGGGCTGTTAACGCTCCCAGCGTTACAAATCAATGGAGAGCCGTAATCTCTCTGAAAAAGCACCATCAATACTGTATAGCACTGGTGATCCACTCGATTACGCTGGTTACCAAAACGGTTCGTTTTGGTAACAAAATGTCGGAACATCCGGAAGGTACGATTTTTCTCGTTTCCTAATTTTACACGTTGTAGGCAGAATTCCCATGGCATCTTTTAACACAAACGTGTATCAGTATCATATGTTTAAGAAAGTGTACATATTTGCGAACAAATAGTTCAGAAGACAACAGAATCGTCGATTTACTTCCTCACTGAAGTTACATAAACGGTTTGGGTTAAAATTGCAGATCTTAACTGTTTTTCGAAAAACCGTTTATGTAACTTAAGTGACGAAGTAAATCGACGATTCTGTTGTCCTCTGAGCTATTTTTTCGCAAACATGTACATTTTCTAAAACATATGATACTGATGCACGTTGTGAGAAAAAACGTCGTGGGGATTCTGCCTACAACGCGTGAAATAAGGAAAAAAGAAAAATCGTGCCTTCGACGTTCCGACATTTTGTTACCAAAACGGTTCGTTTTGGTAACCAGCGTAATCGAGTGGATCACCAGTGTATAGTGTATACTGTATAATACAATATACATGAAGCCATTTTCAAGTTTTTTTATTTCAATTTTTACTTCATATTTAATTCAAAAACAAGAATCAAAAATAGGATTTTACGGTGATGATATATAGTCAAGCACTGCTGGGAACCAGAGGCTGATATGTGTACGTATAAATTACTGGAAAATAGATACATACAATTTTGGGAAACAAAAATAAAATCAAATAATGGTAAATTGAGGTTTTATAAGATAATAAAAGCAAAATGGAACAAGGAACCCTACTTGGATTTAATCAAAAATGAAATAGACAGAAATAACTTGACAAAGCTTAGAATTAGCGCACATAAATTAGAAATCGAAACAGGTCGTTACACAAAACCATTCACCCCTATTGAAGAAAGAAAATGTTTAATGTGTAACAAGAAAACCGGTTCAGAATGCCATTTCCTATTAGAATGCAATAAGTTAAAAGATGTTCGGTCAAGTTACATGGATAAAATAAAAAAACACTGTCAAAATTTAGAAAACATGAATAACGTGGAACATAAATTAATGTTTCTATTTAATTCAGAGGGAATAATATTAAATATACTAGCAAAATATATATCTAATATTTTTATCGAGAGAGAAAAACACGAAATGCAACCAATAAAATCTTGCAATGATCAAGCACCCTTTGATTAGTTAATATAATATATAGATAATTAGTTACGCTTTTTCATTTTTTCTGTTTAAGCTGTACACTTTGCCCAAATGTGGGATACAAGTATAATAAAGCTCATAATAATAATAATAATATATCAAACATTGTCATTTTATATATGAATTGAGAAAATGAGCTCTTCAGACTACATGTCTAAATGCAATTCAAGTCTAGTCCACCTACCTCTCCACACGGACTTGGGTATTCTGTTTCTGACCTCATTGCACAGACCATGGTGTTTACAATGGCAGGGTACTGGCTGGAGCAGTCAGCGTTGGAGATTGTAAACGTGTCTGCGATCTGCATAGCTCGACCTCCTAGGATGAACTCCGGGGCGGTGTCTTCATCAAAGCCTTTATAATAAACGTAGACAGTACTTGTTAAGTACCCCACACTGACGCCATCATTCGATGTGGAATTTTGACTGACCCAGGAAGGCCCGCCTTTTACGTTCTAAGAATACATTTGTTTCATTCACTATACTGCTATATACAGTTCACTTCAAAAAAGAGACTTTTCTTTCCCACACTTATCGTGACTTTTTAAAAAGATCATCGTCCGAAAGATGGGGTCAAGACATCATCCACTCTTACTTCTGGATCACGGAACCCCTGTGTTTGGAGGATGACACAGAATCAAGTTAATAATACGAACACGTGATGGATAGATTTCCAGGCAACATGTTCAATACTATAAGTGATTGAATGATTTGAAAATGCAGTACAGGATATATTCTGCTCGAGAAATTCCGTATTGCAACGAGACGAAGTCAATACAGAATATCGAGAGCAGAATATATCCTGTATTGCACTTCAAATCATTCTATAACGGTTTCATCGTGTGATCCTCTGTATTGCTACTGAGAATGGCCCCTCCAACATTTTCTTTATTACGACGGAGATGATCAATGGGGACAATCTCAGTAGCAATACAGATTGGCACAGCACAAGAACTGACCAATCAGAAGGCTTCATTTTACAGATCATATACGATAAAATGATATATCGGGTGTCCCAAAAAGGTGATCCGCTTTTTGCAAGTATTTTCTCACTTAAGGATATAGCTAGATAAGCCGATCGCTTTTTTATAAGGAATAGGGTATCATAAAAAATGTAAAAGAGATCAGTTGCAAATTATACCAGAAAATCCATGCCAAAATATCCGATATCAATGGAAAAGTAACTTATTTCAGACTTAAAGAAGCTGTTTCGCCTCCAATAACATAATAATCATTCCATACTTTAATGCAAGTTGGATGTAGTGCATTTTTGTTCTTAAGTCTGTTTACAGTAACATGAATGTTGCTCTTAATTTCTTTACGATTCATCTTCCACCGAAAACTTTCACTTTAAACAGTTTTCAGGAGTAACCCCATCGCTTATCATTAAAATTCTTTGTCCCTCCAAACTGAAAAGGTCCATGTGCAGTATGGCAAGTGATTTTAAACAGCCATATCTTTCACCATGAGTACTTTCTGGATATAAATACAGTGGTTTTTATTAAAACAATATGTTTTCTTTAAAGTGAAGTCCCCATGATAGTAAAATATCAATCCAACTCTCTGAAAAATTATGGTCTAGGACCCCATCTTTGCACTTTTTTGAAAATGTAAGGCTTATTTTCTAAAAAGAGGATCGTGTTTTTCTCAATTTAAATATATCAAAAGTTTCTTCTACACTATATTAATAACTTCTGAAAAGGGGGTGGGTATTGAAATGCGATAAAGTTAAAAACAACATTTCCCATGTTATTTTCCCATAGGGAAAACTCATGCTATCCATTGTTTTCAGCATGCTTTTGGTCATCGAAAATTGATATCTTCAGAACTAGACTTTCAATACCATTCTACTTTTGAAGATCTAGATGTTAAATAGACCCCTTATTGAATAATATTTTCGTACAATAAAAATCAGAAAAAGAAGATCTTCTTTTGAGCAAATAAAGTCAACATTTTGAAAAAATTGTTGACGTGGGGTCCCTATTTATAATTTTTCGAATTGTTCGAATGATATTTTTATCATCATGGGGACTTAACTTGAAAGAAAACATGTTGTTTTAATGAAAACCACTGTATTTACGCCCAGAAAGTACTCATGGTGAAAGATATGACCGTCTAAAATCACTTGCCATACTGCACGTGGTCCTTTGGACAGAGCGTATTTCGGAAACAGAGAACAATGTAAGAAACCTAGAAATCTGACACACAGACAAATTGTTTTTGAGACTAAAACTGATTGATATAGATGCTATCACCAGATTGCAGGCACAAGCGCTATAAAGGTCTCGTTGCGCAGCTCGATCTGATATTGGATTCTCTTTACATGCATTTTTGGATTTGTCAGTTCTCACACAATATGTAACAGATCTCTTTCATGTTTGTACACGTTGCTGATGATACCCTTTGGCTATTTTATAATGGATTTGAATAATCATTTGCTAATGCTTGGGTCACATTTGCTCCGATTCAACGGCCGGCGAACGGCCTATTGAGTATCCTGTTCACAAATGTATTCAGTTTTGAACAGAGTACTCATCGGCCGGGCGCCGGTCGATGAATCGCAGCAAATGTGACCCAGGCATTAGTAAAGCGGTTCACTTTTTGTAACACCCGAAAAATCAGAAAAACACTGTGAGAAAGAGCATACTGTTTAATTTTCCCCAGCCACTCAGATAACAGTCTCTGCCCACGTAATTTTCATTAGTTCTGGATGGAAGAAAAGCTACTCCCACTCGACTGTTCAAAGAAACTCGGCTACCCATCTTTACAAGCGCAATGTCGTTCACTTGGTAGTCGTTGATGTCGTAAGTGGGGTACTGAAACAAAGGCCCATATGTGGATGAATTTGACCTCCTTGAATATCCTTAAGGTGTATAAGCTTCAATATATAAGTAATCCAAACTTCCCTGTATTTGATTGATGATGCATAGCTTTAAAACGCTATAAAGTAGTATCAGATCTAGCAAGAGGGTGTCTCAAAAATGTACCCAAAAGTATATCAACAGCACAGCTAAACCAATCAATATTTTCAAACATTTCTTTCATGATCATCCTTATGTTACATCACATTTGATAATGTTTCTGGTGAAATGTTTTGAATTTCTCTTTGGATGTCGGCCTTAAGTTGTTCGGGCCTAATAAGATATTTTGGCTTGAGATAAGCTTAAAATAATCCTTCAAATAGCCCCAGAGAAAGAAATTCGACGATGAAGACGACAGAACAATCATAGAGAACCAGGTCCAGTTTCGTCAAATGTTTTAGCAGCAGTTGATAATGGAGCTTCAATTTCCAGAATTATGGAGACAAATGAGAACAATGTAGTCTCAAAAAGATTGAGCCCCTCCACGTACAGCAAGGGTCACACAAGAATTCAAGCAATTTCAACGTCTGCATGATCTCTCTGAATAAAGACATTGTGAGGAGATTGAACCATATTAATAACATACTAATCCCAAGCCAAAAGACCTATAACAACATATAAAAGGCCAACATCTGAAAGAAATTCAAAACATTCCACCAGAAACATTTCGAAATGTGATCACAGTGTAGGAGAGTAGTAAGGGTACAGGCTGTCATCGAAATATGAGGAGGTTAAATTTAACAAATGCTATAAAAAGGGTTAAAGCATTAAAAAGGCAAGACTGAACGATAATTTAGTATTGGGGAGAAAACGTACATGTTTTGCCAAAATGACTATGCAAAACATATCTGAAAATATTGATTGGTTTATCTTTGCTGTTGATATACTTTTGGGTACAATTTTCGAGACACAATATATAGTTATACCAGCGCCCAACATTGACAAAAAGTTGTTTTGATTTAATTTAGAATATTTTGGGCTTAATCGTTCCTTGTCATGTCTTCGAGAAAAACTAAAGATTTTTCAACTATGCATTCATTTGTCTATAAATATGCTTACCATATTTATTATTTGTGAGAAATTAAACATTTCTGCATTTTTACACTTCGCAACTTAAACAAGTGAGATCTTTTGAAACAAAATATTTGGGATTGTAAGGAATACATTGTTACATCAACTGTATATGTTGCTTGTAATTTTGTCACTCAGTATATGAGATCTGATTCTACCTTTGAACCCTTGTAATGTTGGCATTGTCTTAAGTTAGTTGATTCAAAATAAGAAATATAACAATACAGGTCGAAAATATATTATATGATGATAAAAATTCATTCACTCAAAAAAGTCATATTTAAAAAATGTGCGCTTTGTTCCCTACTTATGAGTTGTCCAGAAACTCACCCTAATGATCCTTGAGACTGGCTTAAGTTGTACAGTTGAGGGATCGTCGTCTAGAATGTGTCGTCTACCCACCTCAACCCTCCAATCAGCAGTGATTTGGCTAAAATCATATGTATCCATTATTACGTAACATTAAGCTATGGTAGGTGAGTTGTATGCTACGAGTATATGGCTTCTGTCTGTATCTATATTTTTCGAAAAAAACTAAATGTTTTCCAAAAAAAGTACTTATCGTTTAAAAGCATTATATGGTTACATTTTTGTTTATCATTCAATATACAAGTCGTTTTTAGCATATTTTGTAAAATTGCCATTTAAAATCTTAATCATTGGGATTAGGACAATGAGACTTCGTAGAATGGAAGGATACTAGTATTGAACAAAGTTCAATTTCGCCAAATATGACCTAAACCCATAGTGTCTGAGTTATTATTTGATTACCTTTTTGGCTCACCCTGTACATTATTTTGACCAAGGGGTAATGCCAACGTTTTAAACCTGACTATTCTGTTTATCCCAAAACCTATGTCGTAAACTCATTTGCGCCATACTTCACAAATATGATTTATTTCCGAGTTTCAACGATTTTATGTTTTCCAATTTCTGTGATAATCTATGTGACTGGGGGAAAAGGAAATGAAACCTATTTTCCAAGAAAACAGACAAATTATTGACTCTTACCAAGATCATCTTGGGATAATTAATGTCTCTTCCAATGGATTTTTACATTTATTTGATCAATGGGAAAAGAAAGGTGAAATAAATGTATACTAGCAAAAGGAAACTCTTTTGAGTGAATGGGTTATCGGAACCCTCCGGATTTGTTGATCAATATAATTCAGTTTGGCAAAATTCGGGTAAAAATGACCCTTAGAAAACACCCCCCCCCCCCCTTCGTTGAAGATCGAAAGTTGGTTAAGACCCCCTAACTTTTTTGTTTATCTAAAACCTACAGAATAGTATTTTTACGTAAGATACTGGTTGGTAAGTGTATATGTGAAAGAATAAATGAAAATAGTTTTGATTTAATTGTTTGTTTTCCAGACATATTATGAGAACTTTATGATAACCCCTCGTATGATCAGTGGCTATTCTTTATATTGGAAGAATATAAAAACTCCTACTTTTCTGCAAAACATCTTGCGCTTGACAGTATCCATAACCTATCACTGTTGCCGTAACCAGTCGTATTCAGGAGGACTCCACCGCATGTATGGGTGTAGATGCTGGAGTTCACTGCATCAACCTTTAAGATTGACGCAGTCCAGTAACCCCAATCAGATGCTGCTGCTGTTCCCAACGTCACAGCGTTGGCTGCAAAGCACATTGGAAAGATTAATTGCAGTGCTGATATTCACATGTGTTCGAACACTGACAATATTATTGCGATGCCTCAAAATTCCAATAAATAATGATGGATCCTAATATCGCAACATTTGGTGCAAACAGCTTGAAAAAGTTAAAGAATTTTTGTAATCGTTGGCTATAATTCGGTCAATTTAATTAACAAAGTAAAAACCTGCAAGTTAACGCCCATGCCTTAAGAGTCACTTTGGTTTTGGAACGCAAAAGTCCTTTTATTTGTTTACCTGAGTTGCATTTTGCGGAAATGAAATAAGATATCAAAATGAGACTAATCTACAATGTCGCTCATATAAACATGTATCTATACCTGAAATATTGGGCATTTCACAAAAATCGATACGCTTTCTTACTATAACAATTGCAAAGGTTTCAAATATGAAATCAAAAATGATTGTTTTTTGATGTACGATGGTGTACAAATAAAACTGTAAGCGATTATCATGAATACGTACCTGTAGTTAAGTAAGTCAGACAAACAAAGGTTAACAGCAACATATTGAATGTAATGTGATTTTTTTGTTTAGTCTCGTCTCAATTTCAACAAACTGCAATGTGATTTTATATTGAATGTACCTTGTGCCAGAATAATGTGAAACAAAGGCGGTCCCAATTAAAATTCACGTGAAGCAACACTTTTTTGTGACACCCATGGCCATATTGTAGATTCATTTATTTATTGCAGACCAGATAATATTAGTTATTAGTTAGAAAGGTGTATTGTGACGACTATCTACATTAGGTCTACATTAGTTTCACATGCAGGTGAACTGACAAACGCCGGCAAAGTAACAACAAGGTTATATTTTAGTTATAAATCAATTTTATCGAAATAATTAAAATCCACGTTTTTAATGTATATGCGTCACTAAAGTATACGTAATCAGAATCGTTTACCTAGCCTCGGTGAATGGGTGCTATAAGTTATTCAATGTTTCGAGTGAAATTCAGAAATATTCTTCCCGAGAAGGTCTGTATTACACGATGCGCTAGAAGAGTGAAATACAGACGTTCAAGTGAAGAATATTTCACAATAAATCATTGAATAACGTTTTTATTCCATGATTACTCAGAAGATAACCCCCCCCCCCCAAATCAAGTCCATTTCTTTGGCTTGTGACCGTAGAAACAGATCAACCTCAGTTCACATGTTCACACCTCATAGATATTTTTGATCGATATTCCTTCAAAATCCTTTCGGCCTTGTTTTATTGTATTATACGGTACTTTTGATTTTCTGTCTTCTTCAATTTCATCAACTGGAAGTGCAGTGTAGAGAAACGTTTTTTCGACCTTCGTCTGCCATATTGGATTTTTACTTCTTGAAAACAATGTGCATGCTTCATATTGATATCTTATATTTACAAATGCGTGTTCTTTATCCTAATATTATATTATCAATTGTGATGATCATCGTATCATTTCCTGATATTTAAATCAGACATTTCTAGCAAAATGCATAGATTAGAACGCGTTGGTGTAAACTAATCACCATTGATTTTTTCAGTAATAGTCATATCCTGGATACTGAACCTTATACCAACGCTGACGTCATTTTCACTCTGTATCAAACACTAAGTGGAAAGTACGTGTAAATAGAGAATATATTTAAGTCACATGGACCAATCAGATTGCAGGGAATTTCACCATCATGGAATAAACGGGGGCATTAAATGTTATTTAATGATTCGAGTGAAATACAGAAAATATTATGCCCGAGAAGATCTGTATTTCACGAGGCGGTTTCTGTACTTCACGAGAAATCATTGAATAACGTTTTTATTTCATGATCACTCAGATGAAACTGTCCCAAAATCAAGTCCAATTCCTTGGACTGGCCTGAGAAAATTCAGACGGATGAACCTTACTCACCCCGTAGCTTTTTTGATCGATGTATTTCGTATTATACGGTACGTTTAATCTTATGTCCTTTCCCTTCAATTTCATCAGCTGAAAGTGCAGTGTAGCGAAACGTTTTTTCGAATTTCGTCTGTCATATTGGATTTTTATAATTTCATGAAAACAATGTGTGTATGCTTCAAATTGTTTTCTTATATTTACAGATGCGAGGTTTTTATCCTGAAAGTATAAATTGTTGGGATACTGAACCGTATCCCAACGCCAACCGTACGCTGACGTCATTCTCACTCTGTATCCAACGCTAAGTGGAAAGTGTGTGTAAATACAGGATATATTTAAGTCACATGGACCAATCAGATTGCACATAAGACATGTATACAAAATGGAAATAAACTTCTTCTTTTTTTCCTCCGTTCATTGGTACACTATTGGTTTTGTACCAGGTGATGGGCGTAAATTAAGAGTATTTTATGCACATTTAGTCTATTATATTAGATACCAAACATTAGCTACATGAACATATCACGTCCCATTTATAATTGATTGTATTCCATGCACAAAAACCACATGGTTATATCTTTCAGAAGTGCAAGTTTAGAAATTCTCCTTGAGGAAATCAAATTTGAATTTCTGGCAAATCTGTTTCAACGTCTTAGCCAATGCTGGTGATCCACAGAAGAAAACCTTCACCTTTCCTTTATTCTCTTGCGAAATTTTTGAGAATAGCTGAAAATAAATGTACTTCAATTCAATTTGAGAATGACAAACAAGACAAAGTTGAAACATGACTCATCTTTTGCGAACTCATTCGTAACACATTTTAATTTTAACTAGTTTATAAAATAGCATAGATTTATGTTAAGATAACATTATTAGTCTTATAACCTCTTCCCAGTTCGGTCGACCGGCTTGCGTTCTAGTTTTCAATCCTGTCAACATATCGCGTTTCTCTTTTTTATGTATGATCTCCAACGCCATCTGGAGACCGATACCCTTCATGTCTGTCTTCTTCAGTGCTGACGTCATATACATGTGCATATCTAGGAAATTGCCAAACGATCCCCCCTCTGCCTGCTCCAGCTCTAGTTTGGTCAACAGAGATACAAACCATTCAAATGACTTCTGTTCCCGATTGATCCACACGAAATCAACCTAAAACGATAAAATTCGACTAGTGGACATGACCAAACTTATTTAGCACTGCACGTGAAAATAGAACTGCTATAGTTTATATTTTAAGAAGTTATTCCAACAATATCCCATTCCACTAAACTATGCTATGTCACATGATGTTCATGAGAAATATGATTGAAATTGTTCGATACATATTTGCCATCTTTATTACAGGCAAAAGATTTATTTGAAGTAAACATATTTTAATTTTCATCGAATACCTCCTCATTAAAAATAAAATATCAAATATATAATTCTATAACTCAAATATTTTTCTAAAATTATTTCACCCCTCCCCCCACCCCCCATTGGGAATGTTTCAGAACAATTAAAAGAACACATTCCAAAACAATTTCGAAACTGTACATGTAGCTTGGCTCACTTTTAGTTTGAAAATAATTAGGTCAACATTTTTAAGGTAAGAGAGACATAAATAATCATGTCGTTACGAATAATTTTTCTCAAATCCTTGGTCTTTGTCACTAAAACTAATGAAGCAACCAAACTACAAACTGTACCACTAACTGTTTTGCACCAAGCCGTAACAAAGATGAGCGGCAAAAACAGAAGGTTGCTTTTGTTTTCAACATATTGAGGTTCAAACTTAAAGTGCTTGATCGTTCGCACTATATAACTCTAACATAGTAATTTTTTAACTATCTAATGACCCCCTGTTTTTTAACAAGCCTATTATTACGCCTTGATTATCATATGAACGGTTTTTAGTCGCAAGTTGGGGAATGTCTGACAACCCAAACGCATCAGTTCGCGCGAAATTTACTGTAACCTTCCCTCCCACACATCAAATGGTTCAAGTAAATGGATGGTAGGATCGGCTTAAAGCGACATCTTTGATTGGTACCTTCTTGAGATTCATTGTCGATGTTGCAGTGTCATTAAACCACGTGTGACTGCAATTTGGACATTTAAGTCTGGCTGGCTTGTGGCGGTGCATAATGCTCTGCAGAATGGAGGCGAATGGAGTGACCCCTATTCCAGCCCCGATAAGAACGGCATGATCTGATTCAAAGATCTCTCGGGTGGCCGTACCATATGGGCCATCTATGTAGATCTGAATTAACCAGAAAATGACATATTATAAAGTCTGATTAAGAGATATAAAACATAAAGTATTACATGTATACTGATATCATTGAGGTACACTTCCGTATGCATGCTCAAATGACATTCGACCTTGTTGTAATAGTTGTAGTCACAAGATAATGATATAACCTGTAACAATCTGTCAAATCAGTTAGAACAATTGGGTAAATGTCAACAAATGAGACCTAAAGCCTTTTAAAAGAATAGAGAATAATATATAACGTATATTCATGAAAAACATTTATGACCTTGAGATTTTAATTTTTGATTTGAAATTGTAATTTTTAATTTGATATCTTATAATTAATATCTTGAAAAAAACTGATACTGAATTGCACAATCGTAAGTGTTCTATAATTGTAAGTGACGATTTGATTGCATGTATTACTAATTACAAAGACATCTCCGCTGTGAATTTGTAGAGGGCCAGGGATGTAGTGGACAATTTTGATTGACCCTGGTGGGGGTATATAATCATCCCAACAGAATGAGGAATTCTAAGTAAGGGGTGTCAATTTTGGTGCCATTTGATATTTTACACGGGATGGTGAGATTCAGGTGTGAATTTGTGATTTCATCACAAAAATAATTAGCTGGACGGTAAAAATTTAATTGGTCAAGATTCGGAGGTATTCACTCAGAAAAATTCCTTTGTGAACAATTATAATTCAATCTGATTAATGGACTTTCTTTAAGTGTCCTACAGAGATTCGATAAAAAGTAATTGACAAATAAGAGGGTTTTACTTTATTACTTTACTGTGACATGATAATCTAGACTCACCTCAACGCTTATACATTGTAGTTTTATTAGCATCGATTGTATCAAAATACACCTTTTTCTAGATGAAGTCAGCGGGTTATTTATAAAAAAGTCTCTTGCGAGAGGGTTTGTAAAGCTTATTTATGAATTGCCTTTGAACTTCGAACGTTCTTTTTAAACAGGTTTTCAATGAAGTAGAAATTTGTGATAATCTTTGACTTCCATTATCTTACGAAAATATCTAGCATAGTAGCCCTGACAGGTTGTGGAAGATATGTGAATCTTATGAGAGATTATCTTCAGTTAACGTTTCAATATCGTTTAAGTGTCAAATGGTTTATTTACAACTTTAATTTAATTGTCTGTCAATTGTTTTTTATTCTCTATACAACTGGTCTATTACCATTTTAGTACCAGCAAAAAGTTCTAAAAAGCAAGCCCAGTGCCCTATTTCTAACTATTGAAAATGGATTCTAGCAATACTCACCAACACGAATCTACTTGTTGAGACTCAATCAACTTGAGTTCAACTGAGAAAATGAGGATTTCGGCAAGGGTCTAATTGAATTAACATGGGGATGCAATTGATTTTCATCCTGCATATGTACTGTAGATATTGCAGGATGAAATCAATTACTTCTGATAGATGTGCAAAACTACAGAAATCTACAAGGTACGGTATTTAAGTTGCAATATGCAAGCCTTTGCTAAAAATATCTTATTTCAATTCACATGATTTTAGACTTTTCTGTGTGTTCAATCCTTAATAATATTTATTATGTAAAGGATATGTATCGATATGGTGAACTGAATTCAACAATGTTTTTCTCTTAAACCAATTATTGAAAACATTCTGTAAAACAGACGGTCCTTTATGTAATGTTGACCGATTGGCAACAATTAAATGCAAAAATTATTTGTATATATTTTCTATAACTGTTTTTGTTAACATTTTTTGTTTTTAGTGCAATTGTTTTTTGTTCATTTCTACCAATTCTTGAAAGAAATATTCAAGAGACTCACTGGAATGCTTGTTTTAATATTAAAGAACAACTTAACACCTATGGAAAAATATATATGATCAAAAATTAATAAATATGAGCTATACATATTTTTCAGAGTTTAATTTTAAACTCTTAAACAACTTATTGGCATGTGGATCTCTCGTATCAAAATGGAATAACAAAGTCTCAAAAAATTGTTTAATATGTATTCAATTGCACAATATAAAGCACATGATATTTGAATGCCATAAGGTTAAACCCTTGTGGAATAAAATTGGAAGAGTGTTAAAATGTGATATTCAATATAAACATATTGTAATTGGTTATCCATTCGGAAACACTATAACTAAATATAGAAACATAATTTTAACAATAGCAGGATTGACTATATACAATAACTGGTGTAAATATTCGGAAGAAAAAGAAAACTGAAAATTTTTTGACATAACAGATGCATTTATCAAAAATGCGTTTTATTATTCGCAAATTTTTAATATGACAAAATATATAATATTATCAAAATGGATAACCAAATGTAGAAATGTAATTGACTTTGTATGAATGTATCATTTCGTCTCTTTTTGTTTATATTTTATGCATTACATTATTTGTAATCATTATGAACAATGTATGAATGTAACAAAATAGGAAATAAAAAAAAAATAATAATAATAATAAAAAATTCTTGAGAATGAAATTAAATGTCTCTCCGAACCTTGTTGGAACAAAATAGCGTATACAACACTTTCTTAGACCTCTCAATATTATAGTTATACAACTTTAGGAGATTCTGGTTGATTTGACAAAAAGTATGCAAAAACTTAAAACAAAGCCCCCCGAAATAGATAAAAATTAAGATAAACCTTTTATTTCATTAATAAGATACTTTTTTAAAATCAACCAAACTTTCCTTTGTACAATTACAATATTGAGAGACCTAAACACGTTGTGTTTATGTCGTTTTGTTCCAGTGAGGTTCAGATAGATGTTTCATTTCATTCCGAACATATGATGCCAAGAACAAAAGAAGTATCTTATATGTTTTCTAAAACAATATAGAGAAAAGTATATAAATATATTTCAAATTATAATCTTACCATCCAAAAGATGACCATTAAATTGACGATGTGTAAAATCAAAATGACCCCCCCCCCCCCTGTTAAGTTTTTTCCCCATAACTTTTCATTGGCATCTAGTAGGGTCTTCAGATTTTCAGTAGCTGAAGCTACAGATATAACAAATGTTTTCTGAAAAAATCAGCAAAATTGTACATAGGGTAATTGATTTATTATGATGTAATCATCAGCTGCAATAGACAAAATCGGAAAAAGCTAGCACTATTTCTACCATGCGTATTATCTTTAGAATAAGATTACACAATCTTCCATTATCATAGTTGTTAAAGTTATTACACCAAATTGTAGATAATTGAATGAAGTATATTTTGAGAAAGTTTGAACATCCTAGCTTTACTAATTTGTTATTATTATTAATTTATTATTATGTAATCATCAGCTCCAATAGACAAAATCAGAAAAAAGCTAGCACTAATTCTACCATATGCGTTGTCTTAAGATTAAAATTACGCAATCTTACATTATCGTAGTTGTTAAAATTTTTACACCAAGTTGTAGATAATTGAATGAAGTACTTGGGTGCATCAAAAAGTTTTGCAATTTTGACACTATCTCAAGTTATACATTTAGCTTTGTTTTGAAATTTGGCACAATTATAGATCATATATTTATACATAGTGTGTAACGATTTGGTTGCTCATCTGTGATTGGGTAAAAAGATATGGTTGCTATGGTAACGGGACCCGAGGGTACTCGGTTCCACCTAGAATATGTTAATTTTAAATTCTATTATATTCTGTTATTATTATGATTCAGTCACCAAAATTACAGGTTTGTGTGTCTTTTCATTCCCCCTTTCTATTTCTTATTGTTCTGATGACATCACACAAGGCTATTATGACATATGGATTTACATTGTGATGTAAATTGTGGGGAAAACCTGTGAATTCTGGCAGCCATTTTTGTTTCAAGTAAATTTTCTCTTTCTGCTACAAACCCCACTTCCATATGGACAACGCATGGCCCCATACAAGTAGGGTGGCAATTGATGCTCAAGAGGACCTGGATTGGGAGCGTGTAACAACAGGCAGCTTACTCCCAGACACATTACCATGCGACTTCTTCTTGTTCAGTCATATGAAGAGGGGATTGAGGGGCATGTGCTTTGAAACCCAATAGGAACTTGCCTCAGCCGTGAGGAAGCGATTGACTGTTTTATCAGCAGGGGATTTCAGGCTGTCTTCAGAGACTGGGTCCACAGACATCAACAATGTTTGGCAGCTGGGAGCAATTATTTTGAATAATTTGAGAACAATGTTTGCAGAAAATTGATAATAGGAATTTGAGAACAATGTTTTAATATGCAGAAAATTGTTAATATGAGACTAAACAAGGTGTTGGCAAATTGATGTCATTTATTCTGTTTATTGCGTAATAATAAACTTGCATTGAACCATGAGGTCGCTTCTTATATTACTATGACAACCATATTTTCTTGAAAAATGAAGATCCAGTCTCAAAATTTTGCAGGTATGTCCACAAATGTATGATCATTGTATGTGCCGAATATTATGACATAACTCAATATAGTTATTACGATAGAGTCAAAATTGCAAAACTTTTTGATGCACCCAAGTATATGTGGAAAAGTTTGAACATCCTAGCTTTACTAATAACAATTTTACAAGGGGGTGCCCTTTTGACCCCCCCCCCCCCTTAGGTGTTCGTGTGACTATTTTTACCTTAGGGCTTCTAGGGTTAAGAGAAACGCGTGTTCAAAAAGTTCACCATATCGATAGCACTCCTTTTCAAGACAGTTCTATTTGATCATGGTGAATGGAAGATTTCCACATATTTTTCAAAATGTTTCTTTAATTACACTCAGTATTATTTACTACCACATTGACGTACAATAATGGGAATGTCCATATAAGTAGAATTGGACAAAGTTTGTCAAAGTTTCACTTTAGTGTATGTTTTAGTGAAACATTCTTTGCTAATGTGTCATTTGGATTAGGAATGCAATTATTGTACTTTAATGAGTGTGAATAATTGTGAGGTAATATAAACTATACACCGTCGTTAAATCTGTCCGGGATACTAGAATGATTTGATACTCTTATCACATGTTAACATCGTTAGTATCAACAACTTGTGAACAAAGATATTTGTGTATCAAAACCTCGAATTTACAATGACTGTACCTTGACATTGGTTAATTTACTATTTGCTACCTCCTCGTTCCTGTTCACTATGTGCTCTTCCTGCTTGGGATTCGATGAACTTGTCTGAAATTGAGATTGCGATATGACTAACAGCATTTTTATTACAATCTTATATAATTATTGTTGATTCGAAGAAATGTTTAACAAGTTAATCATATGTCTACATGTAGAACCACATTCTACAAGTTGTTACTTGTTACAGAAATAAACACAAAGTAAAGTACAGGTTCAACAAGTCGTCTTCACGATTGTATTTGAAAGTAGCGTATCGAAATTTATATGTATTGAAATGAAAGTTTCGAATTTATGTTTGTCATAAATTAATTTTCTATGGACGAAAATCTAATGGAATGAATAAAATAAAGAGTATAATATGAACAACATAACACTAAAAATATAACTTTCACGTACAACTGAATTCCCCAGTGTCAGGTACCAATTTGCGCACTCACATGTTTTCTATCCTTATGTTTTTCTCCAGCTATAGTAATAACTGGTATTTCAAACTTATTATCAATGGCATCTGCACATTTGCCATCCTTACTATGACCACCATCTGAAGTAAAAGATAAAACTGTTAAAAATATGGTTGAAATGAGTGTTTTATGATCTAATTGAAAAATATGACCCGACCACTGTCGAAAGTCTGACTAGTGAGTATATTGTCGGGTTCGATTTGGGGCCTTTTTTAGGCCAAATTGTAAAAATGGGCCCGAGATTTGAGCCCAATTCCTTGAATTTAGTGCATAAAAATAGTTTGGCAGACATTTTCTGATTTGAAATGTGCCCCCCCCCCCCACCCTTGTTAGCTTCTGGACCCGCCAATGCGGTGTACACTTTACACTTTGATTAAGGAAGTAAGAGGGATACATACATTAGAAAGACGAATGTTTGAGTTTCGAAAAAAATGTCACAATTTTACAATATGCAAATGTCAAACATTTGTGAGCTTATCTCGGGATAATCCTCCGAATGTTATTGTTATTAGACAATAATTCTGAGAAAATCTAATAAATTTGAAAATTCCTGCATCTTAAAATCCTCTATAAAATTAGAACAGCGAGGAAATCATATGCATGCTTATATGAAAAGATTGGTTCCAACAATTTACCCTTTCTATCCCTTCCACTATCTTCATATCAATATTGAGTATCAATGAGTTAAAAATATAAAGAATAGGGAAACGTACCATGGAACAAAATTACATTATATAATGTTAAAACACATAACACACTATCCCCGAAATCTGTCCATGTTGTTTATTATCATATGGTGATGTCATCTGATAAACATGATAGAGCCAAATACCAAAATATAAGCAGATTAGCAGGAACTTCTATATTTGCCTATCAAAAATATATTAATTTGATGATATAGCTTGATTTATAGTTTGTTTTCTCACCACTTGTATATATTGGGCAACAGCAATGTCGAACCTTGGTATTTTTCTTCTGAATCCGTGCGTGTTCGTAATCTTCATATTTTTCGAAGAATTCATTCAGTTTTCCCGTCCAGTGACCTACAGATCGCACGTGGACCCATATTTCACTGCGTAATTCTGGTGCACTGCTTATTGTAAATGGATGCCATTCATATTCTGCAAGTGCGGGGATGTTGATGAAAATGTAGTCCCCTGCTTTGAAACGAAAATTATCTGGTCTTGATATGATGAGATGTGTGACCTGTAATCATTAAAAAAAGATTTATGAGAAACGTTTAATTTCTCATTTTAATCCATAAAGGTCCACACCTTAAAGCATGTGCCATAATTCAAATTTTAAATCATGATTTACATATTGAGGGGCCAACTGTCATTGTGAAAGTTGGAGAAAACATCTCCGCTTTACTAATATTCCAAAGGATAAATCGATTCCCACTGAAATAAAACAAGAAATCGAACTCTTGAAAAGGATATATTGTTTATCCCATTATTTTATGCTGCATAATATTTCTCTCAATTTTGGCAAGATACGGCCGCCATACGGTTGCCGTAGATCAAATGTGACTGCAGCATTACTATGAGGAAATAAGTTTAGGCCTCTATACATTATTTGAGACTTACCTTTGAAGGAAGGAGGTTGACTTCTTTAATATATGTCTCCCCATAGTGGGCCAATTTCACGAACTTTGAGCTAGAAATCTTCTCTATGATGAATATGACTCCTGGCAAGGCAAACCAGTAGCAAAAGATTGGTCCATGGATCACCAGGAGCGCCCAAAATATGACGTATAACAAGTGGGTCCAATAGAATACCTGAAATTGGGGGCGTAACACAAAGGTAAAAGTCATACATTATAATAACTTGTAAATTGATATTTAAAAAAATTGTATACCGAGTCTGTAAACCCAGAAACTACGACAACAGTTGTTTCAAGGTTTACAGTCGAGGTATATGATGTTGACTGTTGACCGAATGGAGAGGTCTACAATTGTGTTGTAAGTCAGAAGAAACTAATAATACACATATAGACAACGACAATCATCAATCATAGCTTCATTTCACAATCTTTACTCCGAACCATACCAGCAATAATTTTTTAAGAAAATCTGAAGACTTTTTTGGTCCCGTTTTTCCTCCTATTAACTCCCATGTTAAAAATCCCATGTGATCACCTCCCAATATGAACAGTTACATGTAAACAGTCATTTTTGATATTAAACCTTTTTGAAAAATGGCCTCATCTATAGTGGGACTTTCCAGCATGACTAAATTTCCAGATAACTGGGATGCCATAAATCTAAGTGGTGAAAAGAAATGCGATGAACGTGTTCATACTTCTTCAAAATTCAGAATCTCGAGAATGCAAAACCTCGAAATGTGAACACCTCTAAAACCGAACGCTTTTAAAACCTGTCCCAATGGTGTTCGCCTTAGTTTTATTGTATTAGCAGATTTGACAGAGGCATCGGGTTATTGGTGTTAGTTAGCTGTAGTTAATCCTACATTATTGTCTTGACGTTAGTTAATCCTACATTTTGGTCTTTAACTAATCAATCCGACGGTCTGGTACGTGCTTACATATTTACCTGGAAGTGTCCTCCGCGTCTTACAAAGGGCATGGAACAGATGAGCATTATAATAAGGACGAGATCAAGCGCTACCCCTGACAGTGGAGCTAACCCAGCAATCCAACCAATCGCTGGTTTTGTGGTGAATAAGTATTCCATATACGTAAAACTGTTCACGTTTGCTACAACCAACGCTGAAAATAATAAGGCAAATATAGATATAGCGATTAGATAGCTAACGAAAACCACCTACTACATGATACGTTACAAGTATGACGGAATTTATGATTTACAAGCACATTTACATAGGGATGATTTAAGACATGCAAGATGGTCCTTGTATCCGTAATTCATTTCATTGTGGGTCAAAGTTGACAAACCCCTATCATGGTATACTCATGGTGAACATACCTAAATTGCCAAGGTGACAAACAGTGTGTACCAAGCTCTGAACTGCAATTACAATGCCGACCATCTTGTGGAACATAATGGACTGATCGAGTGGAAGAAATTGTGCCAAGGTTGTTGACCGTAGCCATGTCAGACATTTCCGAAGCATTAACACCAGTACAAACATACAGTTAAAGTTTAAGTCCATCCCAGAACCACGTGCGATGATAACGAACCAATTTTCTGCTCTATATCTGATCGCAGAGACAAGAAAAAGTGCAATGTTAATGAGGATGTAGAAGGCGACAAACCCAACTTTGCGTTTGTTGTTCATGATATAGCTTTGTGTAAGATATCTCGGGGCATATTTTGGTTTTGCTGTTTTGATCTCTGGGGGTCTGAGCCAATTTGCAGCACTGAAAGAGATCGGAAATTGGTCAAGTAAAACAAAATGTATTAATCATTACTGTAGGATACCATGGTTGCAAGATTAGATAATGATATTGTTTTCTGATTATGAGAAACACAAAGGCATTTGAAACAATACTATTCAAATAGGAACTACCTCATAGTAAGATTTTCCAAGACTCCTGGATGTTTCTCTAATTCCACTTTCAGTTCGTCAAATGAAATTTCGCCACTGTTATCTTCATCCGCGCTATGAAACAGTGCCTTGGTGAGCTCAGTTAAATCGTCTTCACTGAGTGTAATTGAGCTCTCCTCCATACAGGACCGTAACACTGTCTTCAATTCCCCCAGTTCTATCGTCCCACTTCCTGAATTTGAACAACGGGAGTGTCAACTGGATTTTATTATTACTTTGAACCATAAACTATTATAACCTCTTTCGCGTCGTGCACATATTTTCCTTTTCATTGAAATTTTAAAAAGATACCAAGGCTACACGAGGCTACAAGCTCATCTTAAACAATATAATATTACAAAAAAAGATTACTATGATTTTTATACTTGGAATTAATTCGACAAAAGGATATCAAAACAGGTCTATACGTTTCATTTTGCTGTAGCCAAAAATAAAAATAAACTATACTGTACAAAAAAACTGCAATTCCATCAAAATATGTAGAACAAAGTCAAAACAATTTATGTGAAAAACGGTTTCGTTACCAGAAGGTAATGGAACCATTAACCACGTACCATCAACATCGTAGACATCAAATAGAAACTTAAGTTTGTCGGTGGCTGTCCCATTTATGAGTTTATCCAATCCGCACATGAGCTCCGATATATCAATTGTACCGCTGTCATCCTCGTCAAACAAATTGAAGAACCGCTCAGCAAAAAACGACTGCAATAACCATGAGTTATGTTGTGGATAAATTATGAGTACTGGATTTTAGGAGAAATAATAAACCCCTCACTAATTTTATCAAAGGTAAATGGCCCATGATCCAATTTAAGGAAAATTTGACTTATTTTGTATTGACTATGAGGTATGTTTATTGAGAAATGTGTGGGTGCACAGCTTCAATGCACTGCATGTAACAGGGCAGGTACGGTTTAAAATTTGATTTCTTTCGTGTTTCAACAATGAATGAATAGGGTATAATAATTAGTTTAGCTTTAAAGCGGCAACAAGGACTGTGAAGAGAAAATGGATAAATTTTACCTTTTCTGATCTATCAGGGCAAAGTTTGGTCTAACATCTTCTTCCTCATTCCAATTTTATTAAAATGTTATGGCAATATTTATCAACCAGTAGAACTGACAAAGCGGGTGAAATTGAATCTAAAAGTGGCGGAGACGAATGGAATGAGGATGACGGAGAATTAGAGGATTTTCTTTTGCCATTATCGATCAATATAAGGTATGTGCACAAATTCTAGTTGCATGTATGGAAAATAGATACATTTTCAAGGCTATAACACATTCAAAGCTTTGATTACGTTAGACCCAGGATCACTGGATACGACTCGGCAGTCTTTGTTGCTACTTTAATGCACTGTATGTGGCAAGTCGATCGTTTTTTGTGCCACACTGGATTTGGATAGCTTGCCAAGTGTCAGTTCTTTAAAAACAATAGATAAAGAATGAACTCTTCTTTATTACAACTGTGTATTCTTAACATAAACTACAGTTTATTTTATTGTGTTGCTACCTAAATGGGGTTTAAAACATAAATAAAATAGTTCACATGGGGAGCTACTGAATAACCGTTTAATAATCAATGTTCGTCTATTAAATGTTTGTCTTTTTAATGTTTATCAAAGACTATTCAAAAACTCCTAGGTTCAAATAGAATCTTTGTTTTTACTTTTGATATTCAGTTTGTTCAATGTCAAATTCCCTTCTCTGTTATACAAACGTACCCGTTTTATTTTTAGAGCTGCCTTGAATTCCTCTAAATCAATTTCCCCATCCTCACCGGCAATATCATTGAATTGCTTCTCCACCCACATCAGCCACTTATTTTCTTGTCTTTCTTCTCTGTAAACATGCACATAAAGAAGTATTTTATAACTCGTCCATAAAGGATCATTTCCAGTCAAAGTCAACATACTGTACATATATGATTGCCTAGAGATCCCAGATATAAGAAATCTCACAGATGCGTCTATTTCTATCATGGAATTGCGCGTTGTACAACTTACAAATAAATAAACAAATAAGCACATAACATCTATTTATCATCAAGCATCTGGTTTTGCAATTTATCAGAAGTAATTTGTCATTATTCTTATGTAATGTTTTTATGATTGGTACAGGTTGTTGAGATGTTCAATTATACCATTTGATCGATTCACCAACCAACTTAAACTTTATACTTCATTATACGCAATTAATGCAAAACACTCAAAGGAAATGAAATGTCAATTGAATATGATATTGGCCAAGGAAAATATCATATTGACCGAGGGCGACAGCTCGAGTGTCAATATGATATTTTTCGAGGCTAATATTATATTTTCTCGAGGAAAAAAATCATATTCCATCCCGACCATCAATAACCAATTTATGCAATAATAATTTTGCTGAAACTTATTCATTTTCAAGTTCGATTGTCATCACCAAATGATGGTGACATAAAATGATACAATTTGATTTATCATATAACATACGTTTTAAAATAAAACAAAAGTGTAAATATCAAGAGGAATCCCCGGGAATATTTCTGATACGGGATCTAATACGGGGTTTTGGCTGATACGGGATCCAATACGGGATTTTGGCTAATACGGGATCTGATACGGGACTTTTTAAATCTCAATTCTATTCCTTGTTTATTTCCCATGGAAACATGTTATTGTGGAATAAAAGTATATACTTACATAACATACACGTATATTGACTAGACTTCACGCATATTTTCCATATCGATTGTAAAGCTACGGCCGCCGTACGGTAGCCGTAGAGCAAATGTGATTGAGGCGTACAAGTTAGCGCACATCAACTCAAAAACAAAGAATCGCTCAAACAAACATAATTGTCAAAAGAACTTACTCTGTTTGTATTGATGGATGAGTTTTGTTCTTTCGTCCACAATCAAGTATACTGGGCCTTTTCTTTTGACTTTTTACAAATCCATACTTTGTTGATGTTCCTTTGGTCTGTGTGACATCACATTGCAAAATATCTGTCTGCGTTCCCCTAACAACCTGGGAGGGATCATTTATATTTGAGATAACAGTAACATTGCGTTCTCCTTGAAATTGTCTCACACTAGAGCCATTTTGTAATGATGTTGTGTTCATGGTTTGAATGCTTCTTGCTGCAATGATTTGGTTATTTTTGCGAATTTCACTACACCCTAACTCCAATGGTCGCTGTATAGGATTTACCTCAGAGATTTGAGGTGCCGTGGTACAAGTTCGAATTTCACTCATTCTCGCAACAGTATCATCACATTCTGTCCAGTATATCTCCTTACTCTTTGGAGAAGGCATCTTATCTCCCTTTTCTGACTTCATTTTCTCATGATCCGAATCAACTTCATACATGTTAAAGCACACGTTATCCAAGCCGTCGCGTGGTCCTCCGAACGGACTCGTTTTGTGAAACAATTGGAAAATTGTTAATACAATTTATTAATTCATATTTATTGGGTAACATCAACTTATAATTAAACCCTTTTTGCTTTTGACCAATCCGGTGAACAACATGATATTATTGTTTTAACTGTTTAGCGGGCCACGCCACTAAATTAGCTTATTGTTGATTTTCCAAAACTGCTAATTCTTTGTTTGCAAACATTATCAGCAATTTCACAACACTTACCAAAACAAACTCATCAGCTAATTTTCTGAAACCGTATGCGTTTGTTAAAGTAGCTATCACATTAATGTATTTTCATATATTGGGGACATATACTTTCTATTCTCTTCGTAATGAAAGATACGGGGATTGTTTGTCTGATGTGCCCGTTCCAGTATTATTCGTCCTGTTGTTCGTTCTCAGAAACTCAATCTCCATCTAGTTTAATAATGAATTATGGATGTTTTCATATTAAGCTCTCAACCATAAAAAATGGCTGCTTCGCGTTAATTAGCCTAAGTCTCTTTCATTTTCAACGACTTTATATTATGTATTCTTTTTCAAAACTATCTAATTTATATTATTGTAGATATAAGCTTACAACCCTCCTCTGAGTTCGATTTCAACATTCAAGTACTTAATACTTATAGCTCGAGCTTAGCTGAGATCTACTTTCATCCTTAAAATAACATTCTCGTCTGAGTTTTACTTGACAAACTTAATTTCTATATATAATATTGTATCAACGCTTATTGTCTAATATTAATATAGACCCCTAGACTTGGCCAAGATCAGAACACCCCTATGTTAAAGATTTGGAATTTCTATCTATATTAGCAATTTAGGATCATAAAAATAGACATTTTAATTAGATTTGAATTTCTCTTAGAAGTCTGCTTCATGATAATTACGTATCTACCCTATTATTAATAGACTGGGACTGCGATGCTTTCCATTTCGAAAATTGCATCTTCGACGACACCTTACGATGCCAGCCATGTGATTCGTATCTGGAACCTAAATGTGATTTTGTACATATACATAATGCAATTAGTATTGTTAAACATTTATTGTTTTGTTTGATATAAGGGTGATACATATGAAATGACAGAACACGTCTACAGTTTGAGAGAACATTGGGTTCAAGATTCGTCAACTCCCTACTTGATGACACAATATCTCCAGGTTCATGACACTCAAATGTATCAAAGATTTGAATACCTACTTGTGGTATAAACCAGATAAAAGATGAACAGTTCAAATATGTTTAGTATTACTTCTATATTCTTTCAATTATCGGTATGTATCTTTAATACCTTCACACATAACTGTGTGTCTTTAAGTCTTAGGTAAAAATCCATATTTTATTTACATGCACGCACTTGTAAAGACGACGTGGGACTAAACTACGCATTTCCTGATCTTTCACCAACAATCGGCTTGAGCTACAATCGCATCCTTGGAGTCGGAAATATACCTCGGTAAATTACCGCTCGTTCGGTCAATATCATATTTCCCTCGGTCAATATCATATTATATTTTGTATGTATTATGTATATTTACTGTTATTGAAAATTGTATATTGGATGTACGTTTGGCCCTAAAAGGGCATCAGTACTAATAAATTGTGTGGATTTCCTAGTGTTTCTATGCAAAATAGCACGCTCCGTCACAGCGGACAATTTTTTCGATACCAGCCTGTGAACATCAGGGTACTTTTCTTCCTGTCGAAATCATAAATAAAAAAAATGGATTTCGCCTGAGGTTTCGACGATTTCGATGAATCAATGCAATTTTTTGATGATGATGCACTGGAAGACATATCTGTAAAACGTGAAAATATTCGACAGTTTGTTGAACAGCAAGAAAAATCCTCCCAAGGTCAGGGCATATATCACTGAAAACCTCGGGCATATATGCAACGATAGTGACATAACCTCTAAATATAATATAAATATAGGTTATTTCGTGCTTGATTTTCAATATGAATTTTATTCCTGGGTAATATGATATTGACGAAGGGAAATATGATATTGGCCGAACGAGCGTAGTGAGTGAGTGTCAATATGATACTAGTATTTACCGAGGTCAATGTCATATTTCTCGTGGAATAAAATTCATATTGAAAATCAAGCATGAAATAATCTATATTTATATTATATTATATAATATCGTATTTATCATATAAGGTTTTTCTCACAGACGTGTATCAGTATCATATGTTTTAGAAAATGTACAAGTTTGCAAAAAATAGCTCAGAAGACAACAGAATCGTCGATTTAATTCCTCACTTAAGTTACATACACTGTTGGATCAAGTGCTCCTTTGAGACCTCAGTTTCGGGATATAATTTTTAGCAGTCAACATCTGATTGAGTCAATAATTGTATACTTTTATAGTTGATACAAGGAAGTCGCCATGTATACAAATCATATATATGTTAATTAAAACAGGTACCGATTGTGTCTAACTAGACTGGGATATATCAAAAACAGGTTATATTAAAACAAATACAATTCAAGTTCTTAATTTATCAATTGTATAAATATAGCCAATATCTTCCACGAAGGAAATGTTTTTTTGCAGTACTTCAAAATTCGATGTACTCATTAACGATATCAAGTATCGACTGATAACCTTTCCTCTCAGATACAGTATATACAAAAGCCTTGTGATCCGCCACATATCTTAATTTAAAAAACACTCCAATCAAATAAGTTGGGGTGATAAAGAGAAAACTTTGACCATTTTTTATCATTGCAACATAAGTATACTAAACACACAACTACCTTCACTTATATAAACATCAACGATATTTCGCAGCTAAATGGAAAAACAAATTGAGTAAGGTAAGTCGTTATTTTTTATAATTTTGTATCTGTTGATATTACGCTTATTTTTGATATACTTTGATTGTATCAGTTTTCAATATCAGTTAATAAAATAGCTGTTTATTTTCACAGATTTGTACTTTTTTCCTATGATGACTTGTTGTGATATTCCATCTTCTTTTTCTAAATGTATTCATAGGAATTTATAAAGTTAAGAGGGAATTCACTATCACAATTAGAACCTCTGTTTCTTTTATATAATGCTTACCTTGAAGTATATTTAGAAAATTGGATTTCTCAAAAACATTGCCACAAAATGCTGATAATAACAACAAGATAAAGTTAGGTGATAAAGCTTGAATACTTGGCATTTATACCCTTTATATGCATTTCAGATGATGGTCTGAACTACATTATTTTGGTGCCCTGTAATCAAATCATCACGCTATGGCGGCAAATCGAATCCGCCGTTCTCAGAAAGATCACGACCTCATTCCCCCAGATTATGACAGCTACTTTGAAAACCAAGGTTTTGATGATAGCAAATTGCATAGAGATTACACTCCAAATTGGAATGGAAGAGACTTAGATCTAAATCACCCAACGGTCGACTATGGCGATGCCCCGGACAGTGGAAGGGGAACACGTGAAAATAGTGAAGACTTTGTTACACCTTTGACTTCTACCAAACCTCCTAATTTACCTCCAAGAACAAAGGATGTCGCACCAGACTATAGTCCTGAAAAGTTTACACGTCAAGTATCTGCACTACATAAAAATGCAAGATTTGACGATGTTTATGAGACCGATCTGAAACCTGCTACAACTACAACTACAAACACTTACGAACCATTGGAGGATGTTGAAGAGACAATTGTTGAACTGCCAGCTATAACAAAACCAAATCCCAAACCAGTCAGTAATGGCGTTGGCTTCAATATTCCATCCACAAGCGATGTACCTTCATTACAAACAGGCGTTCCTGAAAGTGCCAGTTTTGACTCATTGGGAGGTCTTGAAGCTGATTCAAACCAAATTACAAGGGAATCAAGAAAGTAAGTCAATTTTACAGCCTTCATATTAGTAACTGATTTGCATTGGGGGGACAATTTAACGCCTTCATTGATCACAAGCTGAGAACACAAAATACGCCTTTTGGTCTTTTCAGGGCTCTTTCTAATCTCAAATGGGATCCTTTCCGAATCGTGCCAGTCGAAGAGGTGGACGACGAAAACTCATGTATGGAAACTATGAAAAAAGCCTTCAAAATCTTCACATACTTTCTTCTCTTCTTCTTGGTCTTGGGAAGTGCCATATTTAGTAAATCAGCCCTTTTTCTAATAGCTGCTAATACGCGACTCGGGATATCACTCAACTGTTCTAATACGACCCTAGATAGATGCGTCGTACTACCAGGGAACAATCACGAATCAGACTTCATAGACTATGAAATAACAAGAGTTGTAGAGGAGAATGTAACAGAGGGCGGTTCGACAGCACTGGAGAATGTAACTGTAAGCTATTCTTTAGATCGAATTTAACAAATCAATTTACTGGCTAGAATGGTATTGTTGTACTCTTTTCACTCGAGACATACTCTTGTGAGGCATTTAAATCAACACTTGGTTGGTAACTTAAATCCATATTTTTCAGAAAATAGACCTAGTCCAATATGATGGGGTAGTTGCCCAGTGCGACGTAAACACAGTGCGTTGGATATGGGGTCTTACCATGGCAGTTTGTGTTCCATACCTATTTATATTCTTCCGATCATTCTGGAGGGTAATATTCAAAACCAAACAAATGCCAAAAACCAGCACATTTGTAATAGTAAGTTTCATAAATATACATAATATGCATTTTAGAGTCATAATCTAAAATTAAGTCCACAATGTTAAGCCTAAAGGGACAGGCTGATATGACATGCTATATTTTAACGATAACACAAAAATATCAAAAAGAAGGTTATATGCCAGTGATGTCACTAATTTATTGCTTCTTAATATCTATAGTTTGTAAAGCATGTGATAAGGGGTAAAATATTGAGCTTGTATAATTTTTAAAATATGTTAAATACAATAATCTTAACAGTATCGACCGCCCTTCATGTATACCAATAACCTCATTTCAAAAGGCAACATAGTGAAATCTTGGCCCAAGGCAATCTTGTTTAAATGAGGTTAGACATCATCACCACCAGTGAAAACTAAGTACAAACACGTTATTTGCCCTGAACCGGGCCCTGAACCAGGGCGGATAATAACTTCTATGGGCCAGCCACTATGGCTCCTACTATTGCTCAAGTCAATATTCTAATCTAATACTATTACTCTGGCCTCATAAGGTGGTGATAATGATTATTTCATATAGTTACAATTTTTGTCTCTTTTACACTCTTTTTTACCATACCATATTCCCATATAATATCAGTGTGTGTGTGTTCCAGCCTTTTGGACTATTCTCATTCTGACTGACCTCATATCCCAGAATGTAACACATTTGACATGTAATCATATTTTAGCATTATCTTCCTTATTTATTTTTTCATGTTAGGTCGAAAATATTAGGACTTTGAAATCGCGAAATCACAAAAAGCCATTTAATAACATACAGTTCAATAGGGCAGTTGTTTGGAAAGTAGTCCATATAAATACATACAATATGCAGTGTCTTATCTGTTGTAGGTTACCATAGCGGAGTCCCTTCATTCAATCGGCATTGTATTTTTGGTATTTTACCTGTTCAGGTATTTCGACACTCTTAGAGCAATGGCCCTTCTCACCGGTGTCTACTTCCTTCCGAGCATACTGGCCATATTCTATAGACCCAAACGAGAGATTGCAAGTCCTGTTCAGCGATTATTAAACGTCCTAGCAATGATCGTCCAAATGTCAGCCCTATTCATGTGGCTTGTTTTGACCATACATAAACCATTTAACGAACAGCCAGATAGAATATGGCCAATACCTTTAGCCCTGGTTTTGATATCGTTCGGATGGTGGGAGAACTTTATCAGTGTTAAGAGCACAAAGCTCGGAGAATTTGGCAAAATGTTGTCAAGAGTTAAGACGAATGCGAGGAGGTCAAGGAGTAAGATGTATGCAGTAGTGAGCCTTTGGAAGATCGCCTTAACGCTGGCTGGAATGATGGGTATTGTCCACTATGATATGTTCCAAAATGGAAATCTAACATTCGATCAGTGGTTTGTTTTCGGGAATCACGGTAACAATGCGACGTGTGGAGGGCTACGGGATAGCGAAAGAGTGCGTATTAATGGTACAACCAAAGCAGCTGTCAGCGATATACCCAATATGAACTGGGTATGGGCTGCAGTGTGGGGAGTACAGTTCGCCTCATCATTCCTTTGTTACTTCGGAGCAAAAACAGCGACTAAGCTACTCATGCAAGAACTCTGCGTAGCGTTTCCTCTCCTACTCAGCACGCCATTGACAGTTCTTCTCATGGTTCTCGGCTGCGATAGGTGGAAAAACGCCCCTGGATTCCTGCATGGTTTTATTCCCAACCACGTATTCTGGAACTGTTCCCCAATGTCGTTCTCTGAGATGATAAAGGACAGGTTCATTTGGTTGATGCTGCTGTGGTGGCTCTCTCAGCTATGGATTACAAGACACATGTGGTTCCCAAAGGCAGAGAGGCTGGCCAAAACTGAAAAGTAAGTAACATTTCATAGCACAAAACGTTAATTGCTACTGTGTTGTCAAGTATAACCAAAAATGTAATATGCTTGGGAATGACGATGAGATTTGTTACATATATATTTTCTAAGTTAACATGTAAACCGAATATATTCCAGGTTGTTTGTGTTGCCCATGTTCTGTGGTGTGATGATAGAACAATCACTAATGATGAACAGAAGGATTGATGAGAGTGTACCTACAGAAAACAAGGTAGAACTTTAGAAAATGGAATATTTTACTTAGAAAGCATGCATATAACGTAGCATTAGATATGTACAAGATAAAAATACACACGAACTTATATAAAATTTTAATTTTGTCTGTCACCAGATCCTTGAAGAGGATAATTATATAAACGAAATATATATGTCTTCATTCAGTCAAATTAGTAAAATAAATAATAAAAGATAAAACAAAACAAAATAGATAGCATTCATGTGTCAATATATATTTCTTGTTTCAGCAACTTGACTTGATCACGGTCATGAATGATATTGGAATGGAACCCGACGATGCATCAGTCTCTGAGATGGACATTCAGAACAAGTATGACTCAATGCGAGTCAAAAAGGAAACAATTCCAATGCTTTACTTCTGTGCAACAATGTGGCACGAGAACGAACAGGAGATGATTCACTTATTGAAATCTATATTCAGGTGGGTGGTTTTCTGTTATCCCTTCTTCGTAGTATACTTTGGTGGGTCTTTTTGTTGGGATGTGGTTGTTTCAGATTGATAATTATTCGTTTGAAAGTATACGATTCTCAGTTTAAATAATATTATGCATTTATTCTTACTATCAATATAAGTTAAACATTCTTCATATCTTGCAATATTTTATCATCAAACTCGATTCAACGAGGCCTACAAACTCTCTTTACAAATAGGTTCCAAAGTTGGGTATCAACAAATAAACAACTAACAATCATTCTGACAACTCTATCGATACCTTTATTGATTCCCTTACGTACCCAAAGCATTTCATAAAAACGTTCGTGTACAATTAGATTAGAAATATTAATGATGAAACCCATCATTCCAAATCATGTCATTATTTTACATATCCTATAGCCTATGAAAATTGAAAGTTACGAACTTCCTGATTTAAAAGGCATTTTCTCAGAACTAAGTTAATCTTACAAGTGTCGTTTCGTGAAAATAGAGACGCTAATTAAGCCGCCCTTTGGGAAGGGCACTTGGGTTACCTATCACTAACAGGTACTGGGCATGTGGGTTGCTCTGAAGAGCTTTAAAAAAGTCTCAACTGTCGACAATAAATAAGATGCTGTTACGTTGCCCACTTCAAAATGTGTCATGCAAAGTCATTAAATTTCATTTTTATCAAGTTTCATCTAGCTAAGATATCGGACACTCAAACACAAATGAAGATAGGACTTCTAGAAACCTATCGCTTTCTCTCTATATGATTACAGTTCTTCCTTATCATGCCAAAATGTAAAAATATTTATCAGTAATATTTCAATCAGCACTTAAATCAAAATGTATTAATTAAAATCTAGGAAAGATTATAATTAATGACAATTTCAATCGCAATAAATGAACACATACACAGAACATTATAGTCTAAATGTGCGATGCCTGAATATGCTTGGAAGAATAGGTTAGGTAACACCACACAACCATGCAGGACGATACTTTTTATATGTTAATTAGACTCCAAGTATGGATTACTCATTCGTTTAAATCCATGTTTGTAATATTAATACCATCTAAATATTTCAGGATGGACATTGATCAGAATACGAGGAAGAACGCGCAGACATATTTGGACATCACCGACCCAGATTTCTACAGATTTGAAGGTACCAAGAAACATTTAACAATTCCTATAATATAATATCATGATGATATCATGTTCAATTTCTTCGAAATAGCAATATATCATATCATAATGAGTGGTTGTCACCTCCACTTGTGCTATCTCTCCGATAAATTAAAAATGTCGCCCTGACCAAAGTTTTGTATATTGGACTATATAGATTCCAACGAATGTCTTAAGGACTTTGGTGTCTTACGTAAATTAGTATATGTGAATAAGATAAATATATTATTAAAATGGTATTTCGTGTCATATTTCACGTCAAGATATTAATTCCTTGTTATTTATGAGCATGACTCTCTCATATACTATCTATAACTATATATTCGTGACGCAACCGTTTGGCATTTCATCGCTATGGTTCCCGCCTCGCAGGCTCCAACCTTATATATTTGATGACAAGTATGCGGCACAATCTGCCACAGAGGCCAGGCCCGTAGCCAGGGGGGTTCGCAGGGTTCGGGCGAACCCACCCCTGGCCAAAAATTCTTTCAAAATCATGCAGTTTTTCACCATTTTGAGCACTTCTCAAGTGATTTTAGCCAAAATTGTCAAATGTGAACCCCCCCCCCTGGAAATTTTTGAAAACTGAACCCCCCCCCCCCCCCCCCCCCTTGGCAAATCCTGGCTACGGGCCTGGAGGCCATGTTATTTCTATCGCCCTTTAGCCTATGGAGCCCATCGTATATCCTGATGAATTGATTAGTTACATCAGTCAACATTCTCATGAAATAAATATGCTATTGCCTATAATTACAGCCCATATATTCTTCGACGACGCCTTCGAGTTCCACGTTGGGGACGGAGAGGATTATCAGGTCAACGAATTTGTCAAATTACTCGTTAAAACGATAGATGTCGCAGCAAGGTAAGGTATACATTAGGAAGAGCATATTCGCCTAATCTTATCGGTTGTTTATTTAGTGACAAAATATTATATATTATATTTAAGGATTTTTCCTCTTTTGAAAACTAACTTTATAATCTTCAGTAAATTTGCTTTAAAATATTATCTTAACAAGACAATGTCAGTTTCATAGCATTCCTGGGTGGACAATAGGACAGTTGTCTTGATACCCATATATTTCAGAGCTCCTCCTAGACATACTTAACACCTGAGAGCTTACCTATTTACCTTGTATTTTATTCAAAATTAATCTTACAGTATATGTGTCAGTTGTAGTACTTCAGTCTGTTATCTGTATTTGATTTCAAGCTGTATCTATATTGAAAAATTAGATAAGCCAACGTCATGAGTTCGTATGGAACATAGTCAAAGTCAGTCATATACCTTTTTGAATGAGGGATATATAAATCTGCATATATACAGTGCTGTTTTCTTGTGTCAAAGTGATATAATAACATGAGAAGACATGTGATATTACGATTGTCCAATTAGTTATATTTCATTTCAGTTAAAATGGTAATAAATTGCGTACATGTAGTAAATGTGATACTTATTACAGTTTCGAAAGTGTTGACTTTCAATTTTGCAAATCAAATTAAAATGTTGCTCTATGGATGGGGGGGGGGGTGTTTACCATAACGTCATTTTCTACAATTCTCTACACTCTGTACACCATCCCTAAAGTTGGCATTCTTATTCTATAACCGTATTTTGACACATTATATTTTAATACTACAGTGTACAAACAATGTGACAATTCTATCAGAGTGTTAGTCACATAGTTTTACAATGTGAAAATGTCATTTTAGTGCTACCCACAATGTGAAACTAAAGCTCCCACCCCCGTTCAGATTCCCGACCCCTTACGGTGGTAAGCTAGAATGGCGCATGCCAGGAGGGAACAAGATCATTGCCCACTTAAAAGACAAAGTCAAGATAAGGCACAAGAAAAGATGGAGTCAGGTATGTTGCAAAAATGTCATATGTATGTTGTGGTTGAAGTTAAGTTTGTGTCATACGATGTTGGTGTGGCATATATTTCATAATTATGTATGTTGTGGTTGAAGTTAAGTTTGTGTCATAAGGTGTTGGTGTGGGTAACATTCCATATGTATGTTGTGGTTGAAGTTAGGTGTGTGTCATAATGTGTTGATTTCCCGGTATCGATCGTTAGTTGAGTTGTATTGTTGGAATATTAAAATATACCGTTTCTCCTTTGACTTTACTCTGTTGATGATATGGTTGATTCGTCTTTGAAGCTTATGTACTAATTAAAATGTAATATATGTTCACCAAATGTATTGGCTTTTAAAATGTACAAAACAAACATAACCAGAGTAAGGGTCTCAAAATATTGTTTTCTGACTCTAGTAATATTTTATAAGAAAGTACAACGCATCTACTTTATAATTTTCATCTAATATAACTTTTATTTATATACGGCTTTTAGATTTGAATTCTACCTGCAGGTGATGTACATGTACATGTTCCTTGGACACAAACTATGGGCAGAGATTGATGGAACGAGAAAGAAGCAGTTAACAGCTGAGAACACATTCGTTCTTGCTCTTGATGGTGATGTAGACTTCAAACCGTTGGCCGTCCTACTACTTGTTGATTTGATGAAACGAAACGAAAATGTCGGAGCTGCATGTGGCAGAATTCATCCCATTGGGGGAGGTAGTATAATTAATCACACCGACAGTTTTTTGTTATCATCGCATTTGTTAGAATTTACTTAGTACACCTTATCTGAGACTTACATAAAAAAAATGTTAGTCTCAGACCCTATGAAGCTTATTTCAATGACTAGCCTGCACACATCTACGTGATAAAATGAAATGAATTGATTATCTATCTACAAACTCTATCAAATATATTGTGATCTCTTTTCCTGCTTAGGTCCAATGGTGTGGTATCAGAGGTTTGAATATGCAGTAGGGCACTGGTTTCAGAAGTCAACGGAGCACATCATCGGGTGTGTGTTATGTAGTCCTGGCTGTTTCAGCTTGTTCAGAGGGTCAGCTTTAATGGACGACAACGTCATGAAGATGTATACTACTGTTTCCACTGAGCCAACTAATTACGTACAGTATGATCAGGGTAAGACTGATACATATTACACGTTGTGAACATTGTGAAACAATGTGCGAAAATAAAAAACGAATGAAATAATGAATTGGGAATGTGCGTTAGATAATGAGTACGAGCAAAGAATTAACATAGCATATTTCACATTTTCCTCATTTTATAATAGATGAAAATCACACTACGTTGTGCGTCACCAGCTCATTATTTCTGAACATATGCAATGCCTAGAAATGATATCATATTAAAACCTTATCCAAATGCCACTTGGACCGGCCAAAAAGATCCGGATTAGCAGGTGTTCAAAAGATAAGTCTCGGTTTGGAGAAAAGACTAATGGGCTAATAATTATTTTTGTGAAAAATATAGAAATAACACCCAAATTAAATTATGGATATTCAAGAGCGAAAGCATATGTCCAAAGCAGGTGTAACATGCAGTATACTGAAAGAACTTCGTTCTTCAAAACGAGACAAATCCTTTCAAGTTTTGTTTTACCATGACGGATTAAAAATGTAACCGATATGTGTTCGGATATGTACGTTTCACTGTGATAAAACAAATGTTTACTCATTATTCTCAAGAGAGTGATTAGTTAGTATATGAAATTATTATACGATGTAAACGATTGCTTTGCAGGCGAGGACAGGTGGCTGTGTACATTGCTTTTACAGCAAGGTTATAGAGTAGAATACTCTGCTGCTTCTGATGCATTTACCTTTGCCCCTGAGGGTTTCAATGAATTCTTCAACCAAAGAAGAAGATGGACGCCAAGTACAATGGCAAACATCTTGGATCTCATCGGATCGGCCACACGGACGACCAAGAACAACGATACAATCTCCTGGCCTTATATTGTGTACCAAGCCGCTCTGTTCGTGGCCTCTGTCCTTGGACCATCTACTGTATTTTTGGTTATCATTGGCGCTTTGGAGAATTTAATGCGACCAGCGTTTGATTCTACTTCAACTGCTCCCTTATGGATCGCGTTTGTCCTCAACTTAATAGCGATTGGGACATTTCTTATTCTTGGTCTAAAGGCGAAAACAGACACACAGGTAATTTAAATCTGCTTATTTCATTCTTGGGATTCATGTGATAAAACTAAGTTCATTGTTTTGTGCTTACATACAGGGTGACACAAAAACGACATCCACCTCATATTTTAAGTAGACTATATGCGAAAGCACCTTGAGAAATGTCAGATGTGTAGCTCAAGTGGGTCAAATTTTATGAGCGTTACAATATTTGCTCTAAATGTCGTCCATTCCTTTGCAGACACACATGGATTCTACACAAAAAAATGCCACCGACCTTTTGTATCATAACTTTGAAAATACTAGTGATTTTGGCTTGTACTTTCAGGGAAAAAAAGTCCATTCAATTGAACACAAAATAGTGTAGTTGTCATTGATAAAATCATTATAACTTATTTCCAAAATTATGTTACAAAAGGTGGGTGCCAATTTTGTTGTAAGATTCAGTTGTGCCAGCAAAGGAATAGACAACACATTTTCTAACGCATATAAATGTGCATCTATGTGAGGTAGTCATCTGAAACTTGTGGAGTTGCAAAATGGATTGTTATTTAAGGTGTGAAACACAAGTCAGAATATCATCAGACAAAAAATTTATGAAGAATTATATGGGTTGGTGTCATTTTTGTGTCACGCAGTATATACATATACTAAATGATGCTACATTCGTGCATTTCTAAAGTATATTGAATCTCCATTTCTCGAATTTCAGCTTCTGTATGCAGGTATTCTATCCGCAATCTACTCTCTGGTTATGATCCTCGTTATGATCAGTGTTGTAATCAGCGTCAACGAGACTGGAATATGCAACACTAGCTCTATATTCTTGATCACCGTAATATCGATATTTCTCATCACTGGTATGCTCCATCCCCAGGAATTCTGGTGTTTGATTCATGGACTTCTGTACTATCTAGCTGTTCCGAGCACGTTCATGTTATTGATGATATTCTCTTTGTGTAACATGAATAACGTATCATGGGGAACGAGAGAGGTAAAGAAAACGAAAACAGAACAGGCCGTAATTGACGCCAAGAAAGAGGCGGCTGCAGGACCCAAAAGTATAGTAACCGCCCCGCAAACTGTTATCCAGAATGGTATCGACTGTTGTGGTTTGTTCAAGTGCATGCCAGGCGGTCAACAGCCACCGCCACCAGTTCCCCAAACAGTAGTCGTAACTTCTAATCCAGTGATACCTTTGAGCGACATATCTGACACAAACGATGACGATGTCACGTCCGAACGAGATATACAACCAAGCCGCATACACGGTAATACACTGAATCTTTAGATACAGTATCTTTGTGATTATTTTGCTAATCTAAAAATCTTGTAATTATAGATGTTACATATCACACACGATGTGTGTGAAAACTAACGTTCTGCATTCTATAGTAGTATTTATTCTTTCAGCACGACGTGACGATATGATCAATCCCTCATGGATCGAGGACCCCGACCTTGGGGATGGTAAACAGATAGCTCTTCTGCAGAAAGACATCACCTTTTTCCAGGAGCTCATTGAGAAATATCTGAAACCGCTAGAAAACGATAAAGTCCATCAAGAAAAGGTTGCGATGGGTTTAGTTGAACTTCGAAACAAAGTCGTATTTGGTTTTACTATAATGAATGCCATTTACATTACTGTGGTTTTCACAATGCAGCTACAACGAGGAAGGAACTTGAGCATTCCAGTTCCGTGTAATGTGCCAGATGCTTTGCGTGGTAATGCTGGCACGAAAGATATCATTATAGAACCTATTGCATTTTTCTTCCTCTTATTCTTCGGAGTGATTTTGATACTACAGTTCATCGGTATGCTGTTTCATAGATACGAAACAATCATGCACATTATGTCTACAACTGTCCTAGACTGGTGTGCTGCGTGTATGCCTATGGCAAAGAAGAAAGACAAAAATAACAGAGAGACAATTAAACAAGCATTGCAAACTGCAAAAGAACTCGGTGCTCTGCAGCCAGATGATGACGCTATTTCAGTTATATCTGGCGAACAAAGAATGTCAGATTTTGACAGCGAAGATCCGTATAAACGTACTAAGGGACAGGCACAGGCTGTTAAAATTACTACAGATGCTAAGAAACAAAAACACATGATGGGGACATTGGATGCAGCTTTCGCTAAGCGATTTCTTCAGATTAAAAGTCAACTTGACAGCGGTCAAGAGTTGATGCCTGATTATGACAACGACGATAATCCTATGTCACATCAACAGAGGGCTAGACGAAGAATGACCAAAGTATTCTTTGAAAATAATAAAGAACACATTTTTGAAAAGAAGAAGGTCTCTTCTGCTTATAGACGAGCAAGTATGTATCCACGATAAGTGAAACACGTCAAACTTTATAAGCCTATTCATGGGATCCCGATGTAAAGGTGACAATTCATGTATATAATGACTAGCGAATAGTCTGATTCAGATTAATTTGGTTTTGTATATAATAGATATATAAAGAGACATTGCTTACCGTTATTTCAGTGCCATCAACTATACAGTATTATTTATTAGTGATGAGAAAATGATAGTCCGATGAGTCTGAATACATGTACAGTATCTGTAAAATAAGGAAGCAATGAATGTACAGGTGGGCAAAAACATTTTAGAAAGCCTTGAATTTTTAATATTTCCAATGGGCATTCGGTTATAATTAGCTCTTAATTAACACAGTATAAAAAAAATACAGCAAATCAAAATCTACAGACGCTTTTTGCCCAACCCAGAGCATTCTTGTTATTTCCGTTTATTCACTTTTCTCATACGGTCATGCCATTACCTCACCAGCCTAGTCACCTTTTGTAAAATTACGGTCGTTAGTAATGTGGCTTCAAAAATAGAACGTATGGAGATGCAATCGAAATGTTGGGAGTGATATTTTCAAAAAACATGCCATTGTTTTTCTTACAACAATAATGTTATTATCTGAAAACAATTGAGACAGCTGATCAAATATGCTCGAATTAAGAAGCTAAACAAACCGATTTAGATATCCAAATTTCTTTTTGGAAGAAAAAAACATTGATCAATGAGTGAAGATATACAAAACATTAAACATTCAAAGGTAAATTATTGACGACAATGCATATTAATTTTGTAATGTCTCTACAATGATATTCAAATCGTATTAGTTTGATATTATAACACGATTTCTGATCAAAATGCTATTTTAAGAGCGAACAAGCAAATACAATGAACGAACAGTGTAAATAGTGCATGGCC